TGCGCGTCTCTCTTTCGCTGACTCGGACGCGAACTCGCACGCACAGAGAGAGAGAGAGAGAGAGAGAGAGAGAAAAGAACCGCGCACACCTGCGCGATCGAGACTCACACGCACACGCGCTACGAGATCTGCGCGCAGGTGTGCACGCTCTCTCTCTCTCTCTCTCTCTCTCTCTCTCTCTCTCTCTCTCTCTCTCTCTCTCTCTCTTTCGCGCTTTCTGGCTCTCTCTCTCTCTCTCTCTCTCTCACACACTTTCTGGCTTTTTCGTCCTCTCTTTCGCGCTTTCTGGCTCTCTCTCTCTTTCTCTCTCTCTCTCTCTCTCCTCTCTCTCTCTCTCTCTCTCTCATTCACAGCATCATCCGCGCGCATGCATATACGCGTACACCATCGTGGAGGACCTCCCACCTCCACGGGAACATAATATTCATGTCTGTCCGTCTCTCGTCTCGGCTAGACAGACCATAGACGGAGAATGGTTTTCCAGCGAGACTCAGCGCGTCAATGGGAGAGCATCCCCGACGAAGACGGGCAAGAAATGACAATCCATCAGATCAACGGAGCTATCGGTGGATATTCGTCATTATCGGCCGGCGCGCGCGCGCGCGCAACGGATCGTGCGTGAAATTTGGCGATTACTATTTTCTTACGAGATACAAATACGCGTCGAAACGCGTCGCGTTACATCTCCAGCGAACAACTCTCGACGAGGGACGAAAGCAGATTGCGAGTTTCGAAACGACGAAACGCGAAACCGCTCGGCGGAGTCCCGTCGACCGCCGACTGCCGACTGCCGCGCGTTCGGGGAGCAATGTTTTTTTTCCCTCAGCCCACAGCCGCGCGCGCCGGGCCGGGTTAAGTTTGCTAATCGTCGCTGAAGCGAGTTCGCTGCCGCCGACACGTCCGACGCGGTCAGCGCAGCCGGAGCTGTCGCAGCTTTCACGCTTTCAACAGCGAGACCGGCTGCGATCAGCCGCGTGAGATCGTCCGATCAACGGAAAAGCCCGTTTCGCGCCGGTTTCGGGCATCGGCTGCGGTGCAGAGCAGCGTGCCGCCATTTGGAAGGGAAACGCGCTCGGCGAAGGGGGCAGGGCTATGGAGCCGCGTCGGAAAAATTCTCCTTTGGGTCCCGACCAATGGAGGCCCGGCCGGGCGCGAACCTCGATGAAAAACTCCCGAAGGGAAAGGGTCGCGCGGGTCCGTTCGACTGGTTCCGCCTGCGTTTCGCCGCTGCGACGCGATGGCAGAGAGAGAAAGAGGCTCCCGCCGCTGCATCCGCGCTGCATAATCCGGACAATAGGCGAGCATAAGATCGACAAAGGATCCGAAGAACTCGGCGACGGACACGGCATGGCAGACGACGAGAGCTCGCTTGCTCGGCCGAGAGAGCGTCTCTCTCTCTCTCTCTCTCTCTCTCTCTCTCTCTCTCTCTCTCTCTCTCTCTCTCTCTCTCTCTCTCCCTCTCTCTCTCTCTCTCTCTTCCGTGCAAGGCGGCCCATTGAGAGCTGGAAAAGTTCTCGGCGGTTGCGGCCAAGGCTCCGCCCAGGCGAAAAGCTTCAAGAACGCGACAAAATGGTGGCGTCACGATGACTTGATGCTTTTCCTCCTCCCCCCCCCCCTCTCTCTCTCTCTCTCTCTCACTGTTTTTCTCTCTCAACGTAGACGTGACAACGCCGCCGGTGCGTAAAGCGCGAGCAAGTGTGAATTCGCCGGCGACCTCGCGCGAGTCTTCAGGGGTAGGTTTGCCGGAGCGCAAAAGTTGCGCAGACGGAGCAATCGATCGACGATCGCTGGGAGAGACGCGCGGAAGACTTCCGGAAGCAAGCAACGACCCGGGGAAAAGCCGGTGTCCTTTCCGATAGGGAAGACCCTCCCCCCGAAGCAAAGCGCTCACCCGACGGTGCAAGTCGAAAACGCGTCGGCTGGCGTCGCGATGACCTTCCACCGTCTGCGATCTCGTTGATCTAAGATACCTAAGATATTGCTTCTCGCGTACGAGGCAGCGCATTCTCGAAAGAATTTCTCGGCAGGATCTCACCGACGATTCCCTCGTCTTATCAGGAGGATATCGCGGGTGACCCCGCGGCGGGAGGGCCGCGGGGAGCCCCGGTTGGCCTCGGCTCTTCGGAGACCTCGGTCGTCGCGCTGTCTCTGTCTCCTTCTAACTAGAATTCTAGAAATCTTCTAGAAAATCTCCTTTCTTCTAGAAAATCGCGGCAAGGACTTGCTCGTGACGAAACGTCCCAGAGATTACTTGCTTTGTGTTCTGACCGAGCCGGCTTTCGGTCGAGAAAGGCGGAAAGGAGAGCAAATGACATGAGAACGAGTGACGCAGAGAAGGTGTCCCGGTGGAGCCCCTCGACACGACACGCATGCAAGGGCACGATTTCGTCGGCTTTCCCGAGCTTCTCTCATTCTCAGCGAACTTCCGTCACCTGGGGACGTCGAGACGCCCCGCGGAGAGACCCGGCGCGCACAGATCAGCGTGCATCGCGGATGTATCGCCGGCTGGTCGACGACATCGGCGACGGCGACGGCGACACTAGTGGGGCTAAGTTCACTCGAGTCGTTTACCTCGTCTGTTGACGATCCACCGGCGGCGGTCCCAATGCTCCGTCATGCAGCTCGTCGAGATACATCCTATCCGGCGAGGATTCACCTATCCATCCGCGTCGGCGAATCGAAGCGCCGTGCTGGCAGCAAAAGCGACGCGCAAATATATATGTATATACACGTATATATGTGTGTGTGTGTGTGTATACACATACACATACACACACACACACACACATATATACATATATATATATGTATTTCTATGTACTGTCGGGCACGTCGCTTCGTACGTACGTCAGGTCGCCGCTCTCCGAGAGATCACTGCCCTCGCACGCACACCCGGGGCTTTCTCTCGTTCCTTCGAGCAGAGCGCGGACCGACCGCGGGGGCCAGTAGCGTATCGTGAAACGACCGGAGCCACTTACCGAATCACTACCGATGTATATTCGCGCGCGCGCGCGCGCGCGACCGACGACGACGACGACGACGACGACGACGACGAGCCGCGCGTAGGCTGCCGCGTAGTCCGTCGGCGAGGAAGATGACAGACCGGCCGTACCGTAACACGATTTCCGGCCCGTGTTACTACGAGCGCCCGGCAACAGAGAGAAAGAAAGAGAAAGAGACAGAGGAGAGAGAGAGAGAGAGAGGGGGGAGAGCGAAAAACAGACGGGGGGGAGAGGAATGGGGGAAAGAGAGAAGACGGAACGAGCACATAGAAACGGCACGAGATTTGCGTCGCGACGAGTGGGTTAGGACACGGAGAGAGAGACACGAGAGAGAGAGAGAGAGAGAGAGAGAGAGAGAGAGAGAGAGAGAGAGGGAGAGAGAGAGAGAGAGAGAGGAAGAGCGGGAGAGAGAGAGAATGAGAGCAACGCGCGACAGGATCCGAGAGAGACAGAGAAGGTAAAAGAGAGAGAGAGAGAGAGAGAGGGGGGGGAGAGGGAGAGAGACTGATTCGCGCACACGATTTTAGCGGATCCGACGCGAATTCGGACGCGTGTCACCACGGAGCGAGCACAGACGTAGCGCGGCGACGTGAGCGCGAAAAAAATCACCGGATTGCAGTGTCGGACGACGCACACACGAGACTTTTCACGGCCGATCGCCCCTCTGGTGGCGGCCGGCGAGACGACCTCGCGAGTATCGCGCGGCGCGACGCGACGCGATCAGACGAGAAACGAGACGCATGACGGCGGCGGCGGCAGCGGCGGCGGCGGCGGTGGCGGCGGCGGTGGTGGTGGCGGCGGCACGTCGACTCCGGCGGACTACTCGGCTGCGCCGGCCGCCGCTCCCGTTCCCGCTCCTGTCCCTCGCTCGATGTAGCGTGCGTGTATGTGTGAGTAACGGATGCATGCGTATGCGTCGGTCGCGAATTCGTCCGGTAGACCGGTTCGCGCGATTCGTTCGCGCAGTTTTCGGCTTTTCGATCGCGCACGCATATGCCAGGCGCGTGCGGCCGGTCGAAGCTGGGCCGCGGAGAGGGGTGGGGGGAAAGGATGAAAATTGAAACGAAACGGAAAATCGAAAGTTCGTCGTGATACCTGCCAACGTGCGCTCTCGGGTACGCGCATCGTGCATCCTCCGACATCACCGAAGTAGGAAAGGGTGAGCGGACGTCCCGGCTGCTTGAAACGCGTAATAATCGCGCGAACCGCAACGCTACCGCCATCTGTGCGACACCGTGGGAACGAAACTCCGCGGATTGATCGACGAGCCGAGAGTGCAGAGTCTCTCAGCGAGATTGCGACGAGGCGCGTTCAATCGCCAGTCGAACGAAGGACACAGACTTCTATATTATACACACCGAACCGATAACTGATCTCTTTTAACACGTCCCTCAAATGTATTAAAATTTCATGCATGCGCATTTAGTATCTCCTCTTACAATGTCACATTCAATGTTTACATAAATGTTAACATTTTCCGTAGTAAAAACGTGACCTGTGCGGTGCAATTATGTCTTTTCGGGATCTTGCAATATGCATATGCGCACGATTTTGTTTTACATAAGAACCACTTTTATATATGAAAAAATCAACAGAAGTTCTCAGTCTTGCTTGGATATAGAAGTCTGCGTCAACGATGTAAATTTTTCTTCTCCTTTTTCGAATAGTGTCGACGTATGTCGTCCAATGACAATTTTTTCCTCTCTCTCGTAGTATACTGTCTACTTTTATTGGCATGTAATACGTATAATAATATATATATGTATATATATTATATTCGTCAATATCGAATATATTATTTTATTTTCTCTTTCCATAAATTATATAATAAATAACTCTTGACTTGTGGTTATTAAACAAAATATTTTACAAAAGTAAATAGCTGTACGTCGCCACGTGTTCAATGAAGAATGTGTGGGTGTGTCGTTTGTGTGTATGTGAGAGAGAGAGAGAGAGAGAGAGAGAGAGAGATATATATATATCACTACTCATCTATTCAAAAGTAACTAGACATCTGAAACGCTGATGACGTGTGTGATCTTCGGCGACTTCGTTATCGTGTTTCCTACCAAGTCGTAAAACGGTGCGTTGTCGGGGATTTTTCCCCATGCAGAAAAAACAAACAAGACATGTCGCTTCTTTTACATCAGAACAGAAATGTAAAACTCTACCGCAATACGCAACACAAAATACGAATAAATGAATAATTTTTTTTTATAGGTAAAATTTGATATTCTCTCGATCTGCGGAAATAATTTCTCATGCCGAGGTGTATATATATACACATACATACACACACACATATGTGAATGCGTACGTAAATATGTTGTATATACATACAAACACGGACATATCGTATAATCCTGATACATGTCAGTACATTCATATCAGAATTATAAACACTCGTGAATCTCTTCTCTTTTATAAAAGGACGTGACACGCATGCGACGTTATGTCAAGAAACATATATATTGCGGGAAGAGACACGATTATCGCCAAGGCCACGATGCACCCAGTTCTACACCCCAAGTTGTACGGATCGCGCGCGCGCGCGCGCGCGCGTACGTTCGGTGATTCCTCGTTTCTCTTTCAGTGTTTAGTCGCTTTTCAATACCAGAAGACAGACTTTACTAGGCTGGACTGAGGCAAGTATCGAGAGGCAAGATGGTTGTTGTTTTTACTTCTAGGCAATGGCGTAAGGTTACAAGTGAGAACTGTGAGGCTGCTGTTCGTAGAACAGTACGTAGGCTTCACTGGAAACGACTGACCGGGCCGACACGACGGACACCCGGCTGTCGTTATACTCGTGCCATTCTCCCGAGTACGGGTGCTTGCAGTACGCGGTGTAGTGACCGGAGTACGTGGTACCCGAGTGATTCGCGACTCCGTACAGATTGTATGTACAGCCCGGAACTTTCGGGGCGGCAAAGGCACTGAGATCCAATCCCGTCAACGGAAAGTCCACCATCACGTTCAGCTTGCCGCGGAAACGCTCCATCGGGGAGAACCGTTTTAAATCTGATCGACGCACAGAATCGTTAAGGAAAAGATCTCTTTGGTCTCTTTACGACTGTAGGATCCCGTCGCTCTCGTACCGAACGAGCGGGAATCGCGCGCCGCTCAACTCGCAAAACTCGAAAAGGATACGAATAACCAGGATTTTCGGGAACTTCTGTATGCTGAAGCTCTTGGTGCACTTTCTCCTCATCTGGCACTTGGAACATGTCGGTTTCTCGTCGCCATCCAATACCTCCTCTCGCGTAAAGTGTTCCAAGCACTGGCTCAGCTTGACAGTGCCGCTCCTGGCTGGTATTGGCAGACTCAAGTCCCAGAACGGGTCGAGTGTGACCGACACGTGGTCGCAGGAGGTGCAGTGCAAAGACGAGCGTAGCTGGCCGACGAAGACGTCCACTACCATGCTGTCCTCGCTGCGCAGGTATCGCTTCCAACTCTCCACCGCTTTCTGCGTCTCCCTGCATGGACATAACAAACGTCAAGCTCGTTGGCCAAAAGAGCAGTTAGCTTCCTACGGAAGCAAGCTATGAAAGATTGCTCCCTCACGTGTAACTGTCCGGTATGTCTCCGTGGATCGGCGGCAACTTGGTGGTGACCCTGTTGACGTCCTCGTGCAGACCCTCGAGCAGGTATCTGAGAAACTCTTGAGCGTCCTGCTGACTGTAGCCCATGAAGCGCGGCGCGAATCTCTGTATCTGAGACTTGAGCGAGGTCGTGTTCACCACGTGATCACCGCCCACCTCCCACAACTCGTGAATCACCTGACTGAAGGCTTTGATGAGAGCGCCCTTCATGCTGGATGTGGTGGTGTTGATGTCGGCCAAGTACTGCTCGTTCAGCAGATACTCCAACAGAGGTCTCGTGTTGCTCAAGCATTGGATCACGCTGTTCATGAAACACTGAAACAACCACGTCGCACGACGCGTCGCTAGAATAATGCATATGTCATCATGACGGCGTGATGCGCCGTCGGCCTTCCTCCAGGAGAAAGGAAGAAGGACGCGCGCTGACGGTCAAGAGTACTCACTGTGTTTCCAATATTCCGTAAGCCGTTTAGACCACATCGCTCGTCGCGGTAGGCTTGCAGACGGTTGCGCGCCGATCTACTGGTCGGGCTACCTTCCTGGAAATCATGAAACGACAATTTTCTACAGCTGAAGCAGAGAAACTCGCCAGGCCGCTGTTCTGTCAATGAAACGGGGAACGCACGTGGTCCGTGCTGATCTCGCTCGCAAGCTACCGTCGTCTTGATTGGTCTCTTGGCTTTACGAATAAAATAGCTGTACGTTCGTTTTTGTCTGTTCTCTTCGTTTCCCGACGAGGGTATCGTGAACCGGCCGATATCTATCTCGCAAGCTAGCAAGCAAGCCGTCACACCAAGGCAACGCGTTGATGTTAGTGATGATGATCTTGTTAGACACACACACACATACACGAGATCGAAGAACGCCGACCGCTCGGTGGTGAACGGCGGCCGGCGATGGACAATAGAAATACACGACCTTGACGGTGCCGGTAACCGGCAACTCGGATACTCACCTGCACTTGCGAGGACGCTAGAAGACGAGGAGGAGGAGCAGCCGTTACCACCGGATTACCGCCGGCGCGTACAGGATAGATCGCCGAGGCACGCTTGTGCGCCGCCCAAGGCGTCGCGATGCCCAAGAGGAAGGCGTAAGCAAACGCGAGGGCTACCACTATCCACAAGCACCACAAGACCCATCCTATCACTTGGGCGTAAGCCAGCTTCCACGAGTGTGCCGCTGAGCGAAGAGGCGATGTCGAAAAGAAAACGAGTGCGACGCGGTCGGAAAACTCGAGGAAAATGCGACGAGCGATTTTAATCGCCAGCGGCAAGAGAGACGCGCAACGTCACTGGCAACGTGGCTGGCACGGCTGGCCATGTACATGTCGACTTGCGTCTAACTAGCGTTGGATCTCTCAATACGTCGTCCGGCAGGACACTACGACGCGATGTTGCTCGCAGAGTAAGGAGCACCAAGGCGACCTTGTCGCTCGCTCATGGAGCTGCTCGGATGAGGACTCACGGTGGAAGATTGCCTCTCTTCCGTCGAGAACACGAGGAACCAAGTGAGCCCGCACGCTCCATCGATACCGACGGCGGATCATAGACCCTGCTCGCCGCGGCTCGTCAACCTGCGCGCCTGCTCTTCAAGATTGATGCCATCTCCTGAGATGCCGGTGGCCTCAACATAAGCGGAGAAGAGGAAGAAGCGGAAGAGTGCAGGCTGCCGCGGAACCTGCTGCCAGTCCACCGGCAACGTGCCTTGGTCTCCCGGGTGGGAAGGCAGAGAAGAGAGCGAGAGAGGGGGAGGGGGGAGATAGAGAGCTCTGAGCTATTAATAAAGCGCAGCGAGGTGCTCGCGACTGACTGACGAGGAGACTTTAGTTGGAGACGGAGCGAGGAGATTTCGTAACCAGACCGGCAGGAAGTAAGCGGACGTGGCGTGTGCCGACGCGGTTCTCTCTTTCTCTCTTTCTCTCTCTCTCTCTCTCTCTCTCTCTCTCTCTCTCTCTCTCTCTCTCTCTCTTTCTCTCGGCGCACGTCGAGAGAGCCACTGACCCTGTGCGTCAACAAACGAATCGGGGGACGAAGCCGACGGGCGACGTCACGTCGAGTCGCGACTCGGCAGAATTCCCCGGCATCCATCATCGAATGCGGCTCGAATAGGTTACACCTTTCGCCGTTAGCGCGAAGCAAGACCTGCGCTGAAGAGGCCAGCGACAAAGTTTCAGCTAAGAAGAGAAAAACAGACCTCCGATCGCGGTGATCGCGACGATTGCGACAGCGAACGATCGTTGGACGCGCACTTGGCGCCTTCGAGATTTCCTGCTTCGATAACGATCACTCCTCCTCCCTGTCGTGATGTATTTCCATCGATGACAGCATACTCACGTTGCCCGTCGTACTAACCGTTGTGAAGACCATGATCGCGCTCGATCAGCCCGTTAGCGGCTCTGACGCCTCGCGAAGGCGGCATGCCGCGGCACAACATCACCGTGTGTGGGATCATGAAGGACAAACAACGGTGCGACAGGATCGAAGATCAATCAAGCGCGTGTACAGAGACACTGGGAGAGTCACTGATGCCGTGAGACATCGAGCGAGTCCATGCCAGGCCACGGCAGCCACCGTCGCCGACGTCGAAGACTTTCTCTCTTATAAGTGCACTCACGTATTGCTCGTTGGCACCGCGGTAGATACTGTGATGCGACGTGGGGTTCGTTGTGGGTGACGAAGTCAGGTTGCCCGTGGTGCTGTTCGCGCTGGCCGCCGGGAGGAGACCGCCGCCAGACTGTTCCGCTCTCCTCGAGGTGGAAGGGATGGCCAATGAGGGCTCGTCACCGTGAGTGACTGACGACCTACTGGGCACACCGTTCTGCAGGACTGGCAAAGTTGCGACGCCGAAGCTGTTCTCGGCCATGTTATAAGGGCCGCTTCTTCTCTCCTCGACGCCATCTTCGTTTCGTTCGCTGGTGGCCGCGCTGCGACCACCTTGCAGGAACGTAGTGATCACGTCGATCGACGCGGGTGCGTTGTCGTTGTCGTCGTCGTCGTGGCCATCGCCGGGAGCGGCGCGTATTACCTCGTCGTCGTTGTTCGCGCTTGTAACTTCCTCCCTTCGCGTCACCTTCTTGTCCTGAGCGTTGTTATTGATCAGCAGCTCGGTGTTACGGGGATTAGTCGCGAGGTTAGTCAACAGATCAAGGCTAACACCGATCAAACCACCACCACCGCTAGGTGAGAGAAGGTTACGCTTAGCGGGTGAGACCTCGTCGGGTCGGCGGCTGCGTTGCTGGCGAAGGTGGTGGTGGTGGTGGTGGTGATGGTGGTGGTGGTGTTGATGTTGGCGGTTATGCTGGCGGTTGTTGCGATTGTTATCGTCGTCGCCGTCGTCGTCGTCGTCGTCGCCGTCGTCCCCGTCACCGTCCCCCCTGTCGTTCGCGTCGTTCACGTCGCGCTCGTCGTCGTCGTCGTTGTTGTTAACGCCGAATCCGCAGGCGGCCTCGCCACTGCCGCCGCCGCCGCCGCCGCCACCCCTGCCACCGTCGTTCCCGCTGCCGAGGTTGCCGTTGTTGTTATGCTGATCGTCGTCGCCGTTATTAACGTCCTTCGTAACGTCGTCGTCGTCGTCGCGAGCGTCGTCTACCTTACGACTAACGTGTTCGTCGATGGTTACCTCGGCGAGGGTTGACGCGGCGCTGTCCGCGCGTGCATGTCCGCCGCTGCTGAGCACCGTGCTGCTCGTAGGTGGTCTCTTCTTGGCGGATCTCGACCACAGGCTCCCGCCGGTAGCGGCGGCCGAGCCGGAGGACGACGACGAGGAGAGCGAGGACTCGGGCCGGTCCCTGCGCTCGACCACCTCGCGCTCGTCGCCGCCAAACAGCTCGCTGAGGGACGACGACGTGGAGCGGTGCTTCCAATGATGCGCGCTGCCGCCGCCGGCCGCAGCGCCGCTCGACTGGCGAATGTTCGGCACGTAGCCGGCTGGCGAGTACCTGCTGATGATATCGGCCGCGGACGTGAGGTCGGCGTTGCGCTCCCTCGACGAAGACGAGGCGCTCGACGTGGAGGAGCCGCTGTACCTGCCGCCGCCGTTTGCCACGACGCTCGACGCCGACGTCAACGACGGGCCGGCCGCTTCGCCGTACGCTGACGACGAGACTGACCTGCAAAGTTGCGACCCAACGTGAATATCATCTCCTCTCCCGCTTGTTTCCGCCGAGAGCCGGGCCCGCGGCCAAGGACTCTCCCCCCGGCCCCGCGTTATGCAACCCCCCGCGAGACTATGGACGTGTCCTCTCGGTGCTCTCCTCTCGCCGAGGGCGACACACTTGCGCACGCTCGGGAGGGACGCACACCTCGGCGACGTTTCCGCCGAGCGGAACCACCGCGCTCTCCTTTGGAGAGCTTCGACTAAAATCAGACCCGCGACTACCTCGAGACGCGTTAGAGGTGCTTAAATATATTCTGTCGGAGAGAAGCCGCCGACCATGCGCGACGTGTCTGTGTCTATGTCGTGTGTCCAGGAGGCACGCGCGTCCTCGTCGGGAGAGTCTGTGTGTGTGTGTGTGTGTGTGTGTGTGTGTGTGTGTGTGTATGTGTGTGTGTCAGCCCGAGGAGCGCGTGAGGGTGGTCTCTTTGAAAGGAACAAACGAACGGAGTATTATCTAGCGGGAAGGTCAAGGTCTGCGCTGCGGTCCGTCGCGCGCGAGGTCGATTATTTAAAATCGATAAATATGGCCACACGCGCTCTCTCAGCCGCGGCGGAGATAATAGCGAGTTCCTCGCCGACGCCCGCGTGGGTATACGTCCGTCTGGCGCACGTGGAGGCGAGTTTCCCGACGGAACCGCGCCGCGACGGGCAATCGAGATCGCGCGACGAGTCCCGCCTCGACGAACGAGTGCGAGGAAGGGATAAGACTATCTTGACCCGGAATAACAGGTAGCGCGAGCTCTAGCGCGACCTCGACCTTTCACTGCCGGGCTAACGTCAGTCACCCGGATGACTCGATGACGAGCGCTACGCGCGAGTGTGTGCGTGCACGTATTATTTACGCATCATCTCGTCCTCGTAATTGGATTGATTGGAGCGAAGCCACCAGGCGGCACTTTCTCCCGCGAGACGAGCCTAGGTACTTGCCGCCGATGTGACGCGCGTCGCCAGCGCTGAAGAGGGCGGAGGGCGATGTGAAGCACAGTCGAGGGCGTCCTCGACGATCTCGGAATGTAAAGACCGGAGTTGGGAGAGAGCGCGCGATTTTTCCGCGAACGCGCGTCACTCACGGCGTCTCGTCGTCGTCATCGCGCGGCGTTCTCTTCCCGCCGGTAACAGCTCGATAAAGACGGCATTTGATTGACGGGGTGCAATGGGGGTGAGGCGGCTGCATTTTTCAAGCAACCATAACGAGCGTGATGGCCACTTTAATGTCGCTTCGCGCACGCACGTGGAACTGGCGGCGATGAATCGACACTCGGGGAAATCGTGACGATTCACCGACTCGTTACCGTCACTTCTTCACCGACGCGATTACGGTGATCGCGTTATTTGGAAACAAAGTTCCTTCTCCCGGTGAAGTTCTCGCCCCCCTCGAAGCCCCGCGAGAAGCAACTTTCCCGACTCCGCGTGAAGGCGCGGCGGCCACGCGCGGCCTCCACGCTCCTGCGTCTTCCGACCTTCGAAGGACGCGCAAGTTCTCCGTGTCGTCGCGTATTAGGTGACGGAAAAAATTGGCGCGGTTTTCCCTCGAGTTCGATGCGTCGAAACCCGTCGGTGTTTACGCGTATCATATACAGGGTGATTCGGAACAACTTTCCATCCTTGGACGAATTCTAAGATCATTTTTCCTCTTGCGAAATGTTAGTCAAAGTTTAGTTTTAATTGAAGTTGAGTAATTTGCCTATTACGGGTCGGAAGATGTGCCGAAAGAGCAGACACTGCGCTCACAAGTGGTTTAAGAAATTGTCTTCTGGCGATTCATCGCCAGAAGATGCACCGCGTCTAGGAAAAATTTATTACCGATAACGAAGAGTTATCAGTTACTTATTCGTATATTACACAACACAACATTTCTTTTGAAAATTCTTTTTCATACAACAGAAAGCTGCACCAACTCTTTTGGCTACCTGATAGTGCGGAGGGGAATAGTTTCGCGAACTTTGCGTCTGACGCATCTCGCGATCGTCCCGATCTCACGTCCTACGACGCCCTACTTCGGGGGGTGGAAGGAGGAGGGCGAGGGGCGGATCGCTCACCTTGCGGGTGAGCGGTTGGCCCGACTGTACTCCGACGAGTAGTTCCTGCGGATGCTCGTGAGGGTAGCGGTCGACGAGTAGAAGCTGCAGAGCCGAACGAGTATGAACACTTGGACACATAATACTGTTTGGGGTTTTGCCTGCTATCGGCAGCGCGTTCACTCGCTACAATTGGCACGAACAGATCGCGTGGTCGATTGGACAAGCGACAGACGCTCCAGTTGCAAGGATCGTCGGCCGCGAGGAAACTTCGCGCGAGGTATTCGCAGCCTGTTCTTATATCGAAGGCCATCTTAGGCTGGTATACTCAGATCTTGCGTTTGAGATTGTCTCAAGCTCAGCCTCGGATGCGCCTCTCGTGCGATGCCGATGAAACGCATCTTACGACGGTGCAAGCATCTTACGACAGTCAACTTGAGACGGTCTTCGACGCAAGACTCGACTATGAGCACCGGCTTCAAGTTCGTCTTCAGATGCTCCTTTGCTGATGAAACAAGCCGTACGACATCTGAAGACCAACCTCAGACGATCTTGAATATATAAGACCTGACTGCGAATGCCACCCGTAGCGCCTCCCATCTCTCGCTTCTCGCGGACGCTAATCTTGTCAAGCCAGCCGCGCGAACGAAAACTTCGAAGAGTCGCGTGCTCGGCCGAGGGAGCGACTTCAACAATTGAGAATCGGCTAAAGGCAGATCGTGAAAAGCGCGCGACGCGAATGCAGAAAGCGAGAGGAGAGAAGAGAGAAAGAGAGAAAGAGAGAAAGAGAGAGAGAGAGAGAGAGAGAGAGAGAGAGAGAGAGAGAGAGAGAGAGAGAGAGAGAGAGAGAGAGAGAGAGAGAGAGAGAGAGAGAGAGAGAGAGAGAGAGAGAGAGGGCTCTTCGATTTCGTTCCGTCTGGACTGCCGATAATCTGCCGATCCCCTTGACGGATCCTGAGCGGCCCGCGAGCGCCGACTAACCTTCCTGGCGCGCAATAGGATCGTCTGTACTCCGAGGAGATGTAATTCGAGCGCAGACTCGAGCCCGCCGAGGACGGCGACGTGTAGAAGCTGGTGGGCTGGTCGAGGATCGAGCTGGTGCCGGCGACGGAGCGGTAGGCGCTGTACTTGGACGCGGTGCTACCGATGCCGCTGGTGGTGGTGGTGCCGGCGGTACCGCTCGAGTATCTCCGGCTGGGTGAGTGCGGCGCCATTGGGCTGGTGCTGTAGGAAACTGCCACGGCGCCCGCTTGGCCGCCGCGATGGTACGACATTGCGTCCGGCAAGCCGGCGAGCTCTCGCTTATCCTTCCTGAAGTGCCTGAAAGGATCGTCACGTTAATGAGAAATCGGTCGTTGAGGGAGCTGCGCTGCGGAGGAGAGGAAGCGAGCGCGCGTCGTCACTCGTCGACGACGACGACGACAGCGAGATTTCTGACATGCTGTACTTCAGAGTGTACTTCAGGTCGACGTTCATCGCGTACCCGGACGACACAAGAAAACAGATCGAGCCGCTTCGGGGAGTCTCTCGATTGCGCGAAACGCCCGCGGATTCTACGCAGAGGCTTCCGTCGCTTCGGCAAACAAAGGGAGAAAGGGGCTACTAATTGCTTCCAACCGTCGCCTCTCGGTGCACCGAGAACGAGACGTCGTCCAAAGTCTCGTCCCCTCCGACTCGACGTCGACGCGATCGTTCATCGAGCGTGCACAATTGGTCCATTCGCGCGCCCCGCAGTTCCGCCGTCGTCAATCGCCGCCACGTGCACGCGTATCAATGGCCGCGTATCGACCCTCGCGATTGTTGGCGATAATCGCGAAGCATCGCGTCTAATAACGCGAAACGAGCACGCGAAAGTAGTCTCCCCCCTCTCTCGGTATGCGCAATACGGCGAGCTTAATTCGAGCTTCGGTCTGACCTCGCGTCCGGCCGCGCGCGTCTCTCCCTCCCTACCCCTCCCATTCTCTCTCGGGTGTACATCGCCTTACCTTGCCCTCCTTTCTTACGGGACACCTGAGGATTACCGTAGAAAAGAAACCGTGCCGCGGTCCATTCAGCCGCCAAAGTCGATTATCGTGTTTATACGGACTTGCGAGCAGCGAGGGGGAGCGCAGGGGGGGGGGGTCGTGCGCTCTCACGTCGTATCGATTTGTTTCGTCTTCCACGAGCGCGAGATTAACCCTTTGTGTGGCGTTTTGTCTACCTGATGAATTTCCATGAGATCTTGCGTTTCTACGTTTTCGTCGGGTCCCTAATTACAAATCGGAAGTAAAAACAATCGCTTTCCCTCGATTTTACTTGTTTATAAATGAGTAAAAAATGAACGATATAAAAATCGCAACGTGTAGAGTGAAATATACAGGGTGTCCCAGACCATCACCCCCCCCCCCCGTACCAGCCGAATATCCCGAAAACTGAGCGCGGCAGGCAAAAATGTTTCAGACTGAAGTTTTGGGGTCTTAACAAGTGCATCAAACGGTGATACTCGTTTGACCTTGAGAGCAGTTTATGAAGGAGATCCCAAGGTCAACTTTAAAGTCTTAAATGGAAACCTCCATTCTTTATCGCCTCATATTTTTCCACCAATCAACTCGAGCAACTTTTGTCTGAAACATTTTTACCTGAGCCGCGCTCAGTTTTCGAGATATTCGGCTGATACAAGTGTGGCCTGGGACACCCTGTATATCAGAAAAATGTGGGATCATATTTATTTTCACTAAACTGTAAACAGTACAAAAACGTACAAAAACGAAGGAGGAAAAGGCGGTGAGTGTACCGCCATACAAAGGGTCGTTGATGCGAGTCTGGAGCGAGTTCGCGGGAATCTCGAGCGTTATTCGACGTGACCGTCGAGTATTTATCGAGAGACAGGATAATCGTCGCAGGACGAGCGCCGCAGCGCAAGGTAAGCGCGAAGTCACAGAATCGAAGCACCTTTTCGCTAGTTACCTTTTACCCCCTGCGTCTTCAGCAACGATGCTCGTAGGGTGTCGCGCGTGTGCCCCTTTAGACGCGAGTCTAATCCGCTTGGAGAAATGGCGTTATCGCGGCGGGCAAATATTTGAACGTTACGTCGAGGACTTGAGATTTTTCCTGCTGATGCTCCTCGTTTGCACACTTCACTCGAGCACGTGAGTTCGTCGAGTTACGATTTACTGTGAAAATTAATCGCGCCACTCTGCCGTGATTCACCGCGAGATTCGTCCACGAGCAAAGTATCGATTTACCGCTCGATTCTCGATTTATCGAAAAAGTCAACATCGTATTCCCCGCTCATCGCAAAAGTCGGCATCGTTCCACGACGATCAGAGTAAAAACAATGACAACGACAATCGCGCTCGCGAAGAATACGAGAGGGAATCCACGTGTCACACGTGACCCCTACACTCTCGCCGCGGCTCAGGGGAGGGAACATAAATTATTTCCGCGGGGTAAAACTACGGAGTAGAGCCGCGCGGAGTCGTCACAGCGCAGCTCTGCTGACAGTTCAGTAACACCGGCCGCGGTTTATATTTAGTCTCTATAAATAATAGCCCTAACCGGGTAATAGGGCGAGATCACGTCGGAGGAAATCGGAAAACACGCGCTCGCTCGCGCGCATGCGCCGCGCCGGGCGACCCGACGCACGCGGCGAGACGGCAGCGTGTCTTCGTCTTCTTCGTCGTCGTCGTCATCGTCATCGCCGATGGGGCGCGGACGGACTCCTGATGCGCCGATTTCTTCCCCCGGCTGTGCGATCTGGCAGCCGGCCGACTTTCCGGCGCGGTCTGACGCGCAGAACGCCGGGAATCCGATATAAACCGCGTCGTTTCGGATTTCGTCGCAAAGCCATCTCGCTCCGCGAGCTCGTGAGCGAACTCTTCACCGCGCGATATTTTGCAACCCGCTCGTTAAGAATAAAAATACCTCCGGAGCCGCGCATCGCATGAATTAAGGGTGCCGCGCGCGCGCGCGTCTCTCTCTCTCTCTCTCTGAGCGAAATAGCGCGGCGCGAGATTATTAGTCACGGTAAACGGTGCGTAACGACCGGCAAATATTGGCCCGCAATCTCGCGACTATCTCGTTGACTCGGCTGCGTCACGCGTGCGACGGTGCGAGTTTGATCGCGGGCGAAGTGGAAATTTTAGCTGGAAGCCCCGCGTCGTCGAACGACGAGCACAGGCGGGTTTCTTTCTTTTTCAGTGAATTGCATCCGATGAGAACGAGGAAGCGTCTATTAGTCGTTTACGTCCTATCACGCACTCGTGATATGCACGCCGATACGCTAAGTGGGACTAATGGTCGCGCGACGTGTCGGATCGTCAGAACTGCGCGGGGAAATCGAAGGTAACGAGTCCGGGTGACTCGGGGCGAGGAAGAAAAGGTCGCTTGCGTAAATAGAGCGCGCATTTACGGCATTTGCGATGAATTATCGCCGTCATACTGCCGCTTACTCACTCCACACACACACACACACACACACACAGAACACACAGAGCGCGCATTCCCAGCGACAAAGTCAATAACGGCATTACGTAATCGCACGTATGGAACAATAACAGCGATGTAATTGGATTTTCGCGGCCATGCAACTCGCGGGGAAGCACCGCGAATACGGCCGATAGCGGGCCGCGGTCGGGAAGTCGCGCGCTCGGAGGAATTCTTTCGTTTGATCGCCGCGACGAGATGCATTCCCGCCAACGACGATGTTGCTCCAACGTACCCGAGGGGGCTTCGAGTTACCCGATTGAGATTGCGACATGTTTGACTACACGCGAGTCTGTGCGATTAGATTGTGCCTTTGCGCAACGAGACTCCACGCTTCTCGTCTTTCTTGCGACTCTCGCGCTTCAATCGCGCCGGCGACTCAAGCGGCACCTCCTCGAGGTCGCGCTCTTCGACAACCGATTACGATTTCAATGGTCCCACCGCCACGTGAAGATCGCTGTCACTTGCACGTCGCAGTCGGCGCAAACGCTCTCTCTCTCTCTCTCTCTCGATGCTCTCCTCAGCTCGACTATTTTGCACTCTCGAGGAAGACAAGCGCTCGCGTCCAAGAGAAAAGAAAACAACGTTTCCCGATACGGTACTCTATTTCGGCCGACAAGATGCAATAAAAATCGAGCGCTAAACACGCCTTGCCGATTCTCAACGAGCGACGCGCTTCGATTTGATTCCACTAAACTTCTGATAGAAATAAATTGCCCCAAAAAACCTATTAAAATTTAAAATTATTTAAAGAAACTGTAAAACCCTGTTAAAATTTAAAATTATTTAAAACTTGAAACCTGTTAAAATTTTAAATTATTTAAAGGGACTGTTTAAAGGCACCTCTCTCTTAAAATTAATTGCCTTCAACCGAACTTCTCTGAAAATGCAAAGTGCCTTGATACGATTATCTCCTCGCCCGAGGAGAACCTACTCGCTCTCCGGCGCACTAAAAACGCCGAGTTAAAAGGACGCGCCTAACGGCCGCCATGACGCCCGGGATGACAGCCGCGATGTATCGCGACAACTTACGATAATTGGAGGGCCACGTCGGCGTGTCCGGCAATAATTCCCGCAAGCTGTTACCGTTACGTACGAATCGATACGCCGGTGAGTTACGCTTCGCGTATGCCGACGGGGATGAGGACAGGAGAGCCGGCCGTCGCGTCGCTCGTGCGACCGAGCGAATTCCGTGACCGTGGGTGTCGAGAATTACGATTCAATTAACTCTTAGCGCGGGACAAAACGCGCGAATTATGACGTAAGCCCGGGAGTTCCTTCGTGTTATTAATTAACTCGACGGCAATTTGTCTCCGGCCGACGGATAAACGTCGCGTCCGTCTACCGGCCGACGCGAAGCAACGCGAGGATGCGCGTATTTAGCGCTCGTTCAAGGACTCCCCCACGGGGGAGGGGGCATCCCGGCAACGGGGATTATCGGTGGGAGGGATTACCGGAAGAACCGCACACGCGGACACGCGACACCGACAACGGGAAAATGCTGAAAAATCCATACTAATGAGGTCCTTCGACCCTCCGAGGGAAATTTGGGGTCCGCGAATGTTTGCCTTCGGTATTCGCAGTGTTCACGTTCAGTTTCCCGAGTTTTCCGTCGGGGAAAGATTAGTTAACGAGCGACAACGCAACGTCTCGAAAGAGGAGGAGATCGATGTTTCTTCGATCGAAAGAAAGAGACTCGCCGTCTAAGAGTGATGATTCAGTACCTCGCGGAAAACAAAGGATCGATGATCGCCCCTCCCCCCCCTACCCGCTAGCACCAGAGTGCGAAAGAAGAAGACACCCACGACCGTCTGACCGCTTTCCGTCGGAAGAGAGAAATTCGTCGCGCAGCTCGTGAGAGAGAATTCAGGACCTCGGAGGGAGGTAACATCTCGTCTTCAACCTCGCGGTCCCCGTCGGAGGGAAATTTCGCGTGAGCGATAATTCAGTACTTCCGAGGGGGAGTCAACAATCGCCGTTTATCCCTTGGCTCTTCGGATTCCGCAGGAAGTTGGAGAATCCGTTGACCCGCTTTCCCACCGAGGCGCAGGATTAGTCCGCACAGCAAAGCCCGTTCGATCCGCGTTACGTGTACAGGATTGATGGATGTGTTCCGACGACTTTAAGGTTTCGCCGGGAGTACGCTAGAGAGAGAGAGAGAGAGAGAGAGAGGAGGGGGGAGAGGAGCGACTAATCGATACCCCATCTTCCGCACGCGGACATGAACGAAATGGAAAACGGCGTGCAGCCGCAAAATCGAGCTCGAGGCCCTCCTCGGCACGCGCAAACGTCACGCGTGTCTCTTTGAACCTCCAAGCTCCATTTTCTTCGCACTAGCACGGAGAGGAAAGATCTGCGGACGAGTAACGCGACGACGGGAGAAGCGAAGGCAACGACGTTTTCAGTTTCGTCAGACGAGCCGAGAGTCCTCCCCGTTTCCTTTATCCGAGGAACCGGACTGGCTTTTCTTCAGCATCGAATGTGTATTCATGAGGACTCCTTAGAGAATCGAAGTCGTCTTCTACGAGCGAGGAAGCGGATTCGCCCCTCGAGTGAGTCCGTCCGCGTCGTTCGTCGTCATCGAGACTCGACCAGTCTCGCCTTCCTCGTCGGCACAACGTCGCTTCAGCCCGAGAAGCAGAAAGGCGTATTTAGCGTTCGACAATACAACGCGCATCCAGCGAGCCGCCGCCGCCGCCTGCCTGAGCGGACCTTCGTGCTTCTTCCTCTCCTTTTCGCCTGCCCCCGCCGTTTATTTTCCTCGTCTTTCTTGCGAGGCACTGCGAATGCAGCAAGCGCGGATCGATGCCGCGGCGTCGTAAGGTCAGTGTCGATTAATGTCATAAGTGGCTCGAAATCGCGAGCTAGAATGTGTCACGATCTCATATTTAGCTCGCCCGCCGGCGTCACGACGCAAATAACTCTCCGCGCGCGCGGCGTTGTTCCACCTCGCTCAGCTGCGCGCGCGCTTTTACTTTCTCCCAACGTGCTTTTTCGCGGCGCGCCGGCGAGAATGAATCTCCGCGTCTCGAATTCGCCAGGTCGATCGCGAATCGAGCGGCCGCGTCAGCGCGACCGGCATTCGCAGGATGACGCGATGCTACTTGTCCCCCCTCTCCTCCCACTCTCGTTGGAGATTCACGCTTTTTACTGCGTAACAATGATCAGACGGTCGATAAAGCTTCCGTCAAGTCGCGTAAAGCGGCGCGATTTGCACACAGTGCGTGCGCTTTACATTTTGCAGCGTAACGCGCGCCCGGACGTCGCCTGGAATAAACGCGCCCCAGCTCGCAGACATCGAAAGCTGGACGTCGTCGTCGTCGTCGTCGTCGTGATCAGCGGGTCTCGCTGGAGTGCGTGGCGTTTGTTTCTTTTCTAATTTTTTTTTTTTTTTTCATTGCGACGCACCACGAACTTGCTATTCCGGAGAGGTGACCGAAAATCTTCTCCTTCAGGGTGAACTCGCGAAGAGTGAACGTTGCGCAGGTGGAAGCTTTCAACTCGCCACGAGTCCACGGTTTAAGGGTGACTCTCGCATTACTGCTTTTATTCGCTCTGAGCGAGCTTCTCGATTCGCCAGAAAATTCGCTGATAAAAACTTCTTCCGGACGCTCGACTCTTTTATTCGCCAGCAAGTTCTGAATTTTAGACGCTGGCGAATAAAAGTCTATCGTCTGGAAGAAGTTTCGGCCAGTTCGCTGGCGGATTAAGAAGCTCGCTCCAAGCGAGTAAAAGCGGCACCACGTCAAATCACCCTTTAGGAGAGCTTCGCTTCGAGATCGTCCCCGCGGACCGCCTTGCAACTCTTAACGACAGCATCGTTAGCGTCGTATTGTTGTTGGACAATTGTTCCGCTTATATCGCACCTGCGCAACAACGACGCAACGGTAACGGCAGCGTCGTTAAAAGTTCATCGAGTAGGCCTGCCGGGTGGTCTGCGAAGTCTTCAACTGCACCAGCGCTGGGACTCTATTCCCTTGGACGTTAGATTATGCGCTTATTTCGCCCTGAAGAGGCGAGAAGTGCAAGCTACCTCGGTCGGAAGGAATGCACCCTTTCGACACGCGCCGAAGAACGCCAAATATGCCCTTCCGCTTGTCACGAGCTGAAACAACGTTACACGTGAGGCTCGTGTGCGAGAGAAACGGGAGTCCGAATGACAAGAGGGCATACTTAAGCTTCCGCTGGAACGTCCAGGATAGGGCCTCGCACTCGACTTCGTGCGCTCCTCTCACTCGGATCCCTCGTCCCTCCTCGGCGGAACTCGATGTCGCGTCAACATCGATTGACCGATCGCAACATTGCGAAAGCGGCCTCCGCGGCCGCGACGTTCCCTAGCTGCCCCGTTTCGATGCTGTTTCGCGAGCGGGATGGGATTTCGCGTGCACTAGGAGGTGCAATATTTCCATCGGGCCCGCGGATGCACGCGCTAACCTAACTCTTTTCCGAGCGAAACGCAAGGCGCGCGCGACGACGCGGGTCATCCGACCGCCGACGGCTATTCCGGAAACGGACTTTGCTTGGATGCGAACGCCAGGATCGTCCCGCTGCACAAGGGCAATATTGTCCTGCCGCGCGTCCTTCCAACCTCGCGAGCGCCTATGCGGCAAAAGTCAATCGCCAACAGGAGAGAAAGAGAGAGAGAGAGAGAGAAAAACTGAGAAAGAAAAGGATAGAGATAGAGATAGAGAGAGACAAAGAAAAGGATACACACATACATACACAGAGAAAGAGAGAGAACCAAGAGAGACAGAAAGCGAAGGAAAGAAGGTCGATGAAAATACTCACGCGACGGTGACGACGGGGAGGAGGAGGAGATGGAAGAACGGGAACGCAGGTCGCAGCGGTGCGAGAAATCCGGGGAAGACGACTCCGGCCGGCACTCGTCCGTTATCGAGACTCACGACCGTGACACCTAGCAACCGCTCGCGTCTCCTCGTTCATGTCGCGGACACGAAATCCCCCGCGGGGAAGCCGAGTATCGGGTCGTACGAGCCACCTCGAGTGACTTCGGACACGGCCGGCCGACTAGCTCGATGGGCGAGCACGACGAGCCATCCCGACGGTGCCGACGACGGTGACGTCACCCGTCGGGAACGTACGCTCCGAATTCCGAGAGTGACCGGGGGAGGAGAGACGTGAAGGTAGTCGCGCTGCGCGTAGCGCGCGCGATCGATTTCTGCGCTGCGCTCGAGGCAACCTTCCGTCGCGTGACGTCTCGCATATACGTGTGTGTGTGTGTGTGTAATTTTATATTTTACATGTGTGCACACGCATATACACTCACACACGAGTTCTCGAATTTTCGGTACTGGCGCGTTCACATGCGCGTGTAAACGTATACGCACGCGTCTCCTCTCTCGAGCGCGACGACTCGCGGCTGCCGCCGTTCCCGTCGTTGTCGTCATCGTCGTCACGCCGGCGTCGACCTCGCCGTAGTCGTCGCGGCGCCGCAAGGCTGTAGTATTTACCTTTCGTCGACACTCCTCGCCTTCAGTCCAGCCGAGCGACTTGCCGTATCGCGAGATTGCCGCGGCACTGGCTCGCCAACAACGTGCGCGCACAAACAATATGGCGACACAAGGTTGCCGATTTCCGCGTCATGACAGTCATCGTAGCCTCCGTGAGGCGCGGCGCGACGGTACGGCGGCGGCCGCAGTAACGACGGCGACCGCGTTCCTGCGCTAGCGCAGAACGCCGCGCCGGCAGATTCGTCGGAAGCGACGCGACGCGGCGCGCCGCGAAATCGAGAGGATTCGCCCGCGAAAGTTGCGCTTGCTCGAAAAAGAGAGAGATAGAGAGAGAAAGAGAGCGCGCGGCGATCCTCGCCTTCCTACGATTCGTTCTTCATCGTCGCATCGCTTCCCGTTCTGAATACGATACACGCATAGTCTTAGAAAGCAAGAGGAATTTATTTGCAACGTGTCGGATTGTAAATCTAAAGAGATACATTTTCGTCCCTCTTGCTGCCCCGTGCACGATGCACCAACAGCCTCGGAGAGAGACGCAAGAATTTATTTTCAACGTTTTATGTCGTAAATCTAACATAAAGATACAACTTGGACGAAGGGGCCTTCATCCCTATGTTCCTTCGTGAACGATATGCGAACGGTCTTGCAGAATGCGTAACTGGAGAATGTAAAAATTTATTTCCAAGATATATGTCAGATTAAGCCTAAATAAATTCACCTCTGACAAAACTTCGTCTCGTTCTCTCCTTATACTTTCTTTCCAGCGAATGACTTCTTTGTACTTCGCGAATGATGCACGAGCAATCTTGAAGAATGTATAATTAGAAAATGTAAGAATTTATTTTCCAGATGTGTCAAATTAAATCTAAACAAATTTATCTCTGACGAAACTTCGTTCTCTCCTTATACTTTCTTTCCAGCGAATGACCTCTTTGTGCCTCGCGAACGATGCACAAGCAGTATTGAAGAATGTATAATTAGAGAATGCAAGGATTTATTTCCAAGATATATCGGATTAAATTTAAACAATTCATCTCTGACGAGCCTTCGTTTCGTTCTCTCGTCATACTTTCTTTCTAATAAATGACCTCTTTGTGAACGATGCACGAGCAGTCTTGAAGAATGTATAATTAGAGAATGTAAGAATTTATTTGCAAAATGTGTCGGATTAAATCTAAACAAATTCACCTCTGACGATTCAGTCGTTCGTCTCGTTCTTTCTTCCTATTTTCTTTGTAATAAACGATCTTTTTGTATCTCGCGAACGATACACGAGCAGTCTTGGAGCAGTCTTAAAGAACTTATTTTTAAGATATATCGGATTAAATCTGAAGAAATTAATCTCCAACGAACCTTCGTCTCGTTCCCTCTTCGTGCTTTCTTTTCAATAAATGAAGATTTATCCGATCAATAAAGCTTCATTTCCTCCTTTTATCGAGCCATACTATACAAATGGTTTTATATGTATACTTTACGTCGATTCCTTGCTACATTGATTCTCTACAAAATTGATGACCATCTGCTCCAAGCGATTCAAGTCCTCGGCCGTGCCATATGCTTCCTCGAAGCGGACATACTTCTTGAACAGCATTTTCATCTTCTTTAGGGGCAGCTTCATACAGAGCGCTTCTTTCAACACTTTCCTGCAAGTATGACGACACGTTGTCCTGAAACTAGCACGTACTCACGCGCAAGATGCGTCATCGCAGCGAGATACGCACCTGGCTAAGTCGATGTCCTCGGTCTTCACCAAGCAATCTACATAAGTGAACCACACGTCGATGCGCTTCGGATAGGTTTTCAGGATTTCCTCGAACAACATATGCGCCCGCTCCTTATCCCCCAGTTTGTTCTCCAAAAGCGCGAATTGTACTACGAGGTTGACATCTGCAGGGAAAACGCACATGATGAAGGACTCAAGGACTCATACGAGCCCTGCAATTGCCGATTAATATTACCGAGAAAAAAAGAAATAAAAGAAAACAGAATTATGTTATCGTAATCGTATTAACGTAGCTGATGAAAGAGGTCTAAAGGAGACTTCCAAATAACGCTATTACCGAGAAGAAGTAACTCGCTAATTCCGCCATCCTCAGGTTAATTGACCGATCAAATGTGACCGGTCAATTCTGCTCGACGACGATGTCTATAGACATCTGTGGTTCCAACGAAACAATCGGCCGATTGAGTTTAATCGAGCAGCCGTACTGTACAAAGCGTTTTTGTCGAGGACGGTGGAATTGTGACTCGCGAGCGGCGCCACGAGCGACGCAACATGTGCACTCACGCTGAAACGTCCGCAAGGATTTCAACGCCCGCTGCATGATGTGCCACGACTTGTCCTTCAGTCCGATCTTCAGCAGAGCGGCACCGCAGTCCACCCACATCTCCGGCTTTTCCTTGAATTTGTGAGTCATAACGTCGATCAGCTTCTCGAGCTCGGTTCGCTCGCCCATGTCTAAGAACACGTTCAACATGTGCGTGTACACCTTGAGGTCGTCCGCCCTCCTCACCGCCTCCTGGAACACGTCATTCAGGGATTCACGCGTGCCGAATTTGGCCTCCATGTTCAGCCAAGCCTTCCACACTTTCAACAGCTGCTGCTCCTCCTGGAAATTGATCGTCTGGATGGCTCGTCTAGCGACAGCTCTCGACTTGTCGATCGTAGCCTGCAGATTGTACGCCATGTACTTCGTCCATACAAGCGCACTGTTTGGGCTAGACAGCACCAGTTTCTCGAACTCGTCGATCGAGTTGGGTGCGTGATTGCCCGCCAAGCGATTGTTCTTCTCCTGCTGGCGAATCTCATGCTCCTTCTGCCGTTCCTGCTCCCGCCGCTCGGCCGAGCTCAGTTTCTTCTTCTTCTGCTCCGGTTCGCCCGTCGACTGCTCCTCCTCGTCGCTGGACGTCTCGCTAACGGCGACTGCCCGGTTCGAGTCCGGTTCATGGTCCCAGTTAAATGGGACTTCCGGAAGGTGCGGTTTTTCCGTGTTCGACAGCTTGTTCGTCGGCTGTTCGCTTTCGTCGGACGGAGCCTCGTCTGCTTCAGAGATGTCGTCTATATTCTTTACCCTGGTCTGCTCTTCAGCTGCTTTATCTTCTTTTCTGTTTCTCTTCTTCTTTGCGTTGCTATCACGTCCGGCCGTTGTTTTCATCAACTTCTTGGCCTCACTTTCCTTTGGCCAGACAGCTTTACTTTGATCGGTGTTATTCGCTTGAGCCTTGAGCTTCCCTTTGTCGGCGACATCGTTGTTAGCCGCTTGCTCGTCGTCATCGTTCCTCTTTGGTCTTTTAGCCGTCCTGCTCGTCCTGCTTGAAGCCGCGTCTTGCTGCGTGCACGCCTTTCTCTTCAGCTGCTTCTCATTCGCACCGGTGGCCGACTGTGCCACCGTCGTTGCGTTGGGAGTCTCGAACGCAGATTTCAGCATGCCGATTGGTATAATGTCGCACTCGTTTCTCTTCATTATCACGTACAATCGGATCTTGGCGTGTACCGTGTAGGGCTTCAAGTTCGGTGTAAGGTCGTTCAAGTGCCGACGGACCGGCAAGGCCACCAGATATCCTGAACCGTGGCGTTTCACGAGAACGAGCAGGAACCAGTTGGTGATCATCATGATCTGCCCTCTCAGCACAAGCGTGTCGGGGAGCTGCGGCAGGGTTTTTTGCTTGGAGCTGATGCCATTCACTATCTTCGGTAACAATGACACGTCGACCAAGTCGTGGATGTAGTTCTTCCACAAAATCGTACCGAACACCTTGTCGCCGACTTTATGCTCGCTGGTGTAATGATCTTTGCCTACCACACCCATCAGGTTGTCCTTCAGCCGCAGCACGAGGCCGTATTTGGTAATCCTCTCGATCTCGCCGGTGACTTTCTGGCCCAGGGTCACCGATGAGATCGGCTTGTTCTTGTAAAACACGTTAGTCGCCAATTCCGACAGTTTGTTCAAGTACAAGCTCAACACGTCCACCGCTGACAGCATCTTCGCTCCGTGCTCGACCGGGCTGTCCCATAATTCCTTCAACGACATCGACAGCGTCAGTTGTTTCTCCCGCTTGTTGATAGCCGTAATTTTGACGAAGAGTATCTGATCGATGTACAACCGCTTGAAGTTGCTGATGTTCTTGTAAGAGACGTATCCAAACGTGGAGTAGTCCTCGATGGGCAAGATGACTTTCACGCCGTCCTTCGTGATGTCCCTGATCGTGCATGGAATGCAATCGCCCACCTTCAACTTGTCGAAACTCCTATACTCCCCCTGAGTCATATAAGTACGCGACATTATCACACTAGGCTGCATGGAAAAGACATAAGCCGAGATAGTATCGCCAGGAGTACACTTCGACGCGAGTAAGGCCCCAATTTCTAAGCATGGAGACATGTGGCCAGCCGGCAAGAATCCGGATACGACACCCTCGGAGTCGTTGGTCTTGCATATTCTCAGGTGTATTCCTTCGAGGGAAGACTCCACGACCGTTCCTTCGATCAGCTCGCCAACCTTCATGTTATGGGACTGCTGTTGCTTTTGTTCTCCAGTGATTATCCTGAGCTTCATTTTACCCTCTTCCTTCTCTATCGAGTCGATCAACACCGTGACGGTCTGTCCTATCGTGTGATTCCAGTTCATGTCGGACGTATTGCTGTCCAAGACAGAACGCGGAACCCAACCCTTCACGTCGCCGTAAAACCTCACCAACAAGCCGTACTTGTTTATCTTGATGATTGTACCGTGGTACTCCTGTCCACAACGTGCCTCGCATATGTCCTGCAGTACTGGCAACTTGCTCTTGATCAGTGATTGCTTGAGCGTGAACCTCACGTTGCGCTTATCGGTGTTAACATTCAAGACTCTCGCTTCGACAGAGTCTCCATCTTTCAATTTATTCAATCCGCTTAAGCCGCTGTCGGACACATGTTCCGGCCCGACAAACCCGCAAATTTTACCCACTTGCACCTGCACAAAGCCGGACTTCGTGTCGACTTTCGTGAGTTTGACAGTGACAGTATCGCCTGTCTGAAGGTCGGTAAGCGAGTAGTATTTCTGCTCCAAGATTTCCCGCTCCATCGAGCAAACATAAAGATGTTCCATCCAGTTGTACGAGATCATCTTACATTTATGCACGGAACCTGGTTGAAAGACCGTCGAGATTTTAGTGATTGGTACGTCGGTTCTATGTAGAGAAACGAAGCCGCGTAGGTTGGACTTGGTCAACTTGAATATTATCCCATTAGATTCCCTGTACAACACCTTGGCCTTTCTTATAACACCGCCTATTGGCAGACTGTCTTCGTCGGAAGCGTCAGTCGGCAGACTAAAATACGCGAATTTCACAGTTGGCATTATATACAACAGCGTGCCAGTTACTTCTGTGTCATTCACGTATGTGGATAATGGACTGTCCAAGTAAATACGGTTTAGGTATCCAACATTATTTTTCCCAAACGTAACTTGCAAGCCATTGGAGAGCGTTCTTGTTATACGGAGTGACAGTTTTGTGCCCGGCATTAGAGCATCCAAAGACTCTATGTCATGTGTGCTAACTTTATTGACTGTTTTCCTCTTGGCTGATAAGGTAAGGATGGAGACCTGGTCTACTGTTTTTATCTCCTTGATGACACACATAATTTGGTTACCTGGAACTGTGTAATTGACAATATTAATACATTGGTTTATATCACAAATTTCTCATACAAAATGAATTATACACTTACAGTATTTTTTTTCTTCACTGACATACTTGCTAGCGAGAAATGCTCTAACATTAGCTATGCCTGTGTCAATCACATAGCCGTGATCTTCTATGCTTTTGACAGTACAAACAATCTTTGTACCGGTCACAAGGTTAGTATTATTAACATTTTGATTTATTAACTGAGGCTCCAAAGATAAATTATACAGCCATTTCCCATCAGAATCTATTTTTTTAACATAACATACTACATAATCGCCAAGATTGTACAACTCTGACAAAGATTTGAACTCATCGGATTGAACATCTTTTGTATGAATTATATCTTGTAACAGATCTGTGTAAGGTTCACTGAGATCTGTAAGCTTTACACATCCCAAAAGTCCGCCTGGTATGGAAATAATTAATTCATATTCAGTTATTTCAGAAATCCGGCAAAGAATTATCATCCCTTCACATATTGTCGCATTAGATAAACGTTCCACAGTATTGACAACAAGATTTGTTTCTTCTGCAATTGGGTCATCATGTTGGATCTTTGTTTCAGTTTTACGCTTCTTGCTAGACTTGGACTTTTGATCAAACAGCTAAGATAAGAATATTATATCGTTAATTGCAAATATATAATTATATCTCTGTATATGGATTTTTCAAGTTGTTAGATATAACAAAATCTAACTAATAAAATAACTAAATATTATCTTATTTTAACATTTAACATTATAACATAAATCTAGAAATGGTTACTAATTCAGCATCTTGAGTTGCATGTAAAAACATACAAAAAAGTAAATACTACATTTAATTAAGTACATACCGTATTTGAAGATTTCTTAACTTCAACTTTCTTCCCTCCCCTAGGAAAACTTTTCAACGTCATCTAAAAATATTTTAAGTAATAATATTAATTAGAAAATGCTCAAGAGAGAATATTTCGTGCAGGTCAAGCGGTAGTGAATTTACTTCGGTAGACTCAACTAATTAATAATTGTGGATGCAGAAAGTTCCTAAGGACGTTATATTTTAATTCAAACCATCATACTTACTTTTGCGACTATTTACAAAGCTAATAAGCATACACATTAACGTTCAAACTAACAAGCAAACCTCAAGGAATGCAACAAACGCACCGTGCACCATGACCACGTGCAAATACAAAGGGGCTGCGTTCAGCAGAACAAAGCGATCAGTGAGCGCTTAATGATTTTTTAATGATTAATGTCTGTGATTGGAGCATTCTTTTAGATTCTTTATAGACCCAGAAGTATTTACCAATCAGGAGCGAGAGTCACTAAACGCTCACTGATCATTTTGTTCTGAACGCAGCCAGAGAAAATACGTGCAAATACATAGTTGGATCTTCAACCAGCGGCACACGGTGCTTGTTTCGGATTGCTTGCTGGATGAAAATACTGCGTTCTGATTGGTGCATTTCCATCCATCGAAAATGCACCAATCAGAACGCAGTATTTTCATTCAGCAAGCAATCCAACACAAAACAAGCACCGTGTACCGCTGGCTGAAGATCTGACAATGACCGCGTTCAGTAGAACAAAGTGATCAGAGAGCGCTTAGTGATTATTGTCTGTGATTGGAGCATTCTGTTAGATTCTTCATAGACCCAGAAGTATTTACCAATCAGGAGCGATATTCGGTGGAAAATCTAGTAATGTTGTCCAACTGTTGAGTCTGCTGAATGCAGCCAATGGCTGTGTTCCAATATTCACTGCTAGCATTGAAAATCTATATATATATATATATAATATACGTGACATAAACTATGTATTTTCAGTACTGGCAGTGAATTTTGGAACATAGCCTATGAATACCGGCCTTGGAATCGCAGTCCCTTGACTGATACAAAAATTTACCCAGTCGGTGATATAGTCAAAGCTTAAAATCATTTGATACCATTCAGTAAAGAGCGCTGCATCACCGACGGTCGCCAAGAACTTTCAAGTCCAACAGTACCATCACTACGTTACACACGTACATATAATGCATTTCATCGATTCGTTCTGTGAGAGAGGAAATGGAGGTCCCGCTCTCTTGCACGTTATCGCGCGCCAGCTCTCGGCGGCCGATCGCCCGACCGCCCAACTTATCAACGACTTTATCGACACTGAAATGGTAACACGAGCAGCGAAAGAGTAAATGTTGCGTCGATAAAGACATGTGTATGAGAAAACGGGAGAATATAAAGACTGCCACGTTTATTTAGAGGACTATTGCCGCGCACTAATCGTGTGCTTCTTGTTACGCAAAAATATTAAATAGACTAATAATATTAAATAGACTCGTGTTACCATTTCAGTGTCGGTAAAGTCGTCGATAAGTTGGGTGGTCGGGCGGTCGACCGCCGAGAGCTGGCGCGCGATAACGTGCCAGAGAGAGGGACCTCCATTTCCTCTCTCACGGAACGAATCGATAAAATACACTGTATGTGACACATATTTTTATTTATTTACTACAAAATTCGATCAGAATGCGAAATTGGCGTTGTTTTATACCCGGACAAAGGCCACTGTTGCACAAGAACTATTTTTATCGAGTGAATCTCAAGTTGACCTAAATTTCCAGTAAGGGATGTAGACAATTCGAACACATTCTGTCAGCTGGGAGTGTGGCGGCTCCTGTAATCCGGCTACTCGGAGGCTGGTTATGTTTGGAGGGTCTGAGGTCGGGGGTCACTGCTGGTGCAGGGTTCACGTTGACTGGGCGTCCGCACTAAGCTCGCCATCAATATGGTCACCCTGGAGGAGTCCGGTGGTGACCAGGTTGCTAAGGAGAGGCGAACCGGGCCAGAGGGAAAACCCAGCAGCCAAAAGTCTCCGTGGCGGGCAGTAGTGGGATCGCGCCCGGGAGTGGGACCGTATCGGCAGCCTGGTTAATATGATCCGACACATAACTTTTGCATTTTTTTTTGCAATTTGCAATAATCGTTCAAGTATCTCCGAACGTTCCCATGACAAATCTGGTTGTTTAAAAGTATTTTTCAATATAATTTTTGAAGCTACATATAGCGATGTCTATAGAAACAAATTATGTATTTATATTCCTTTTCACGATATTTGGATAAAAATAATCAGATAATTATGCTTTAGTAGTTGTATTGACATATTATTTTCAAATCAAATTTTGTTATAAATATTGATTAGAAAGATATTCATCTTGAAGAGAAGATAACCAATGTTTATGAGATTAATGTTGGAAATTATTGAATCTTATAATGTTCATAAGAGACACTGGGAGGAAAAAAGACATTAGCACTTGTTTATGGAAAAGAAGCTTTAATGCGTAGTATAATTTCATTACCTTATAATAACGATGGCGCCGTTATCAGTAAGAATTAATCATACACGTGTAGCAAGAAGATAATTTATATAGTACATAATACAAAGATTTAAGTTTCTGATACAATAAACTTTGCCACCACACTATATTTTTCAGTTTATTCCCATATCTAACACGAAATTTTACAATTTTTGTTTGTCCTTCTTTGCTTGTTCCGCCAATGCTTCTAATCGATCATGTTCCGCAATCAAGGCATCTACTTCACTCGCTGGCAATATTCTCGTTTCTGTTTTACCGTTCTCACGTGTCAGTATCGCCATTTCCACTGTGAGCAGACAAGAATAATCATCAGTACATACGCACGTTGAATAGCAAATTATTCTATTGTAACATTAAGTAACAAAACACTCACCTTTCTCAGCGGAGAGTTTGTTCATATCTAATGTTTTGGAAAGCACCTTGATAGCCAATGCCATCGCATCTTTCAAGGTGGTCTCTCCCTCTTTATACTCCTGCTTCAATGATGATACCGCCGCTGCTGCATTATTCCCAATACACGTTGCTTTCCAGCCACCATAGTTGCCACTAGGATCTGACTGATACAATTGATAACCATAGTGTTTGTCCCATCCCATATATAAGATGGATACACCAAAGGGTCTCTTGCCACCATATTGGGTATAAGCCTGCTTAACGTCACATAACCACGAGACCAGCTGCTCACAGGGTATAGCTTCACCATATTGCAGCAGATATCTTTGAGCAATGAGACGCAACTCATTTGTTAAGACATTTGCATCAGAAGTGATACCAGCTACTGAACAGACTATATCGTCGTTTAACTTGTAGATCTTCTCTGAGAAAAATACTTCATCCAGCAACTTGTTGGTGTTCCGTTTCTCAGCTGCTAACAAAATACCATCATTTGCTAATATACCTAGACAGGTACCAGCATGGCTAATAGCTTCCATAGCGTATTCAACTTGATAAAGTCTTCCTTCTGGCGAAAATATTGTGGTACGTGTGTCATATCTACGTGCCTGCAAGATGCAACAAATACGTATTACATGTCAAATGGAAAGTATTAATTTATTTGCAATAATCTTATAGTTATCATCTCTCTGTCATATTAAAATCTTTATTGTAACATGTATAAATAAACAAATATGTACATTCGACTTGAAAATTAGACCTTTTTATAAGTTGAAAGATATTCAATGTGCTTTTATATACTTTGTTAAATTAGACAAATTGTACAGTACAGATATATCGACTTGATTATATATTGCTAGAATCGTGAATCACTATTAAGACGTATAAATTTTGAGGAATATATTACAGAAATATCAGGTTTGATGACAATGCATTTCTCTAATAACCTATAAATATAAACAAAATACGCAAAACTAGCATCAAAATTACGGAATTTAACATTAAATTATGGCAGGTCGTGTTGACTTACCATTTTGTGAGAAGTTTCACTTTGTTAAAATAATTCTCACTGATAACAATGGGATACCGTTCGGCAGTCGATGACACCTCAAACTAACGAAGGTTGCTTTCCAGCAAGGAGATACAAACACGTAGTGTCAGACCTGAGGGAGAATTCACACCCTAGCAGAGGTAAATTTAATCTAACCCTTTCCCAACTAACTAATTTGATTGGCTGTGTCCAACCGTATTGTGCGTCGAATTGGAATGCCTCCGCAGTCATCACCAGCACTACTAGCGCTACTTGTATGTGAATCACGGCGCGAATTTTGATTGGCTTCTGTTTCTCTGTAAATCCTCGCTTACACAAGCACATATGTTCACGAAGATCGCGAGATCACAATAAATGGGTACATCTATATATATATATATATATATATATATATGTATATATATATATATATATACAACGCTTTATTTATTTTGTTACAAAAGTTTTTGTTCTTATTACATAGCTCCTCAAGGTATAAACTAAATTTAAAATAATCTATTTACTATTATTAGACTATATTCCGATATTCACTACCAGTACTGAAAATACATAATTTATGTCACATATACAATAGAAAATTTTGTCAAGAGAAATATGATTTTTAAAATATGGCACATTACAGATGCCATGATATTCTTGCTGCATTAAAGTCAATTTGAGATTTGCTCTTAATTTCCGTAGAATCTTAATTTATTAATTTTCTTTGACTTTTCATAAAAAGATTCGAGGTTAAACAAAGTCTCTCTACTAATGCATAAATCAAGAACATAAAATGAAATTTATTTATTTATAAAAAATATAAACCAAACATTATACATATTTTATGTACAACCTAATACATAAGATATATGTAGTATATCTCGAGTATATATCTTGAAATATTTGACTTCTGGTATACTAGATAATAATCAATAAAAAATCAAATTACCAAAATAACACAACACATACAGAATGTCACATAAAAATTATTCTGGACTTTTCATGAAAATGAACTCAATTATTTTAGCTACTTACTACTTTCAAAAACATGTGAATAGAACAGTTCTTAGATGATAAAGAATAAAATGAAATTATATATATTACGTATTTGTAACTTATTACATTCATATTATGTCCTCCTATATATATTTTAAGATAAAATAAATTTTACTTCAACATGTTGACTCGCCACATTGATTTTCATGAACATAGTATGTTTTAAAACTTAATTAACCAAAATTTATATTCAAAGTTATAATAAGTATATATCTTATTATTTGTTAAGTAACTGTAATACGAATCTTTTAATGCATATTTTTTTTACTGAAATATTTCATGTATATATTTCATGTATTTCATGTATATGATGTATATTTATTACCTTTATTTTATCAGTTTTCAATTAATCTTATATTTAAATCATCAGGTGTGATTGATTTGTGTAAACTAATGAGACGATGCAAAATTATCGTGCCAGTCAACGCGTTGAGCAATAACCGTTAACGTGTCAAATTTAAAATATCCAATTTTACATAACCATTTATAAGTATTATCTCTTAGAGAAAAATATCTTGAGAATAAATAGATTCTGAGATGTCCAAAGTTATGCTTGGTTATTGATAAAAAAGAAATATTCATGATATGTGCAACTACTTATAAATCCTAATGAGGACAGAAATCATCCGGGGTTTGAAGTTTTTGCAATTCGCTATGATCTTTTACATCGGACCAATCATCTCTACTTGTATTGTACGAGCTCAATGTTGTACTTTTCATAAACTCTGGTATTGCTTGGGACACATTATGATCTATTGAACGCGTTGTTTCCAGCAGTGACATTGGTTTAGTAAAATTAGCAGCAACACTTATCTTAGTCTTATTCAAATTCGTAGACGATTGAATATTGCAACAACTTTTCAGCTGTTTAAGATCGTTCACCTCTTTGGCTAGCCGTGCACTCTGCTTAACAGCAGCGCTTTGAACATTTGTCAGATAATCTAATCGATCATTGAGTTCACATAATATATTTTCCAATTTCGAACTTCCTGAATTCCTGTTTCCTCCTCTTTCTTCGTTTCTTTTCGTCTTCTCGATGAGTTTAATTTTTTCCGTTTTGTCAATCAATAAATTCAACAACTTATCGGTGGTTCGTTCACTCGTATTCCAAGCGTTCTCAGTGAGCTCAGTTTTTTTCGAATTATTAATACCAAATATATCACAAGATGCATCTACCTCAATTACAGCATCTTTCTGTTCCTTTTCATTCTTTGCTTCTTGATTTCGATCAATTAATGAAAAACTTTTTTCTTCTCTACCAAAGCCCGCAGGCTCATATCTAGTAGATGGGCCCGGAGAATTGAAAGATCTGTATGACTGAAATTAGAAGGAAATACACACAGATACATATTAGTATTATTCAGTTATAACTCAGCTCATAAAAATATTATGAGTATTTTTTAATGTATTACCACATCATTGTTAGCTGCTGAAAGTTCCAATAGTTTCTGCATAAAAGTATTATTTGTTTTCATACTATCTTCAAATGTTACATGACATTCATTACTGATGAATGTATTATTTTTCAAATTATCATCAGGCTCATAATTAGAAAATATTTCATCGTTGAATGTTTGTGTAAATCGATGTAAATCATGTAAATCATGCAATCCCTCAATTGCTGATGTTGTAGCTTGTGTATTTATAGCAGGATCTTTTTCATATGCACTTTTGTTAGAATTCTGACTGACTGTTACATTATTCAACAAAGTCTGTGCAGTGCCATATGGAGGACGCAATGGTATCTCACGAATCTATAGTTACAAAAGAAATTCATTAATATAATTCTATTAAACCAGACGATTCTTCTCATTGATATAAAATTAACATATTCTGACATATATTATATTAAATATATATACCTTCTCTTCATGCAGCAAAGGAATTTGCTTGACGGTACTACTTTCTCCATTAAGGTTTGCAACGCGAACTCGTTCATTCATTCTAAATTTTTTCCTTTCTGATTTTGTCAACCCATTCACACATCGTAATACATTTTTCGAAGCTGAACTTGTCATCGGATCATATGTTGGAAATTCTGGTGCCTATTAAAAAAATTATATCTAAATCAATCTCTTTGTGCGTATACTTTCTATCAAACAAATACATTCATATTATATATTATACCAGATCCCAATTTTCATCTATTTTGTGCGTATCTGTATCCACAATTGACACTGTGTCTATCTCTTTCTCAACATTGCTCTGTACCAAAGATCCAAGGTTTGAACAAGATGCAAGATGGTTCTATATATTAATAAATATTACATTAACATCAACTCAATCAAATCGTAGAATTTTCCATGTAAGTTTAAATTAAGTGCCAATATATACTTAGTACTTATCAAAAATTTTATATAACAGAAAAAAATTGAAAGTTCTACATGCAAACTTATACGTACCTTAATATCATTCCGATCTACTATATGAGTACTGTTCAGCGGACATGCTACTTTGTTCGTTGTATCACTTTGTTTTTTACATTTTGCTACATGTGACATTAATTTGTATCGACGAATACGATGTGATTTATTGTAAGGACAGGTAACTAGGATGTCCTTTTCCATGTTACACGATCGTTGATTACACCTTTTGGTCTCTTTTCGTGGTTGCTGATTTTAGAAATTCTAAGTCGGCTCACTTTTGAAAAATTCTAGCACGTTTTTATACAACATACAATGAATAGTTTTTTCAATTTGAATCAAACGAAGGAGAGCAAAGTTTAATCTCGATACAACGATCAGTGCACACGTGTCTCGACCTTGGTGAGGCTTCACGCGCATGCGTGATGGAATTGGAGAGAATCCAGTAATGTGAGTGGCAACTTTGAAGGGATGCGATCGGCAGCTAGACAATAATAATATTATTATTATTATTGAACCAATGTACATTTTCGAAATAAAAAAAAAAAACAAATATATAGCTAAAACTTATTTGAAAAGAGAGCTAGGGCGAAGTAGTACAGAAAGTTTAGTAATAAAAAATAAAATTCACACGATCTCACGCGGATCGAACTTCGATAATTTCGAGTTAAGAAATTATCGAGTTTTTAAAAATGGAGCGCGCTTCTTTAAAAATGGATTTTGCGTCGTGTGAATGAACATTATAAACAAATCTACCCAATCAAGAAGATAAAGAAGAGATATGACATAAAGATCGAAATGACATAATGAAAAACAATATAATATTAATTTCTTCATATACTTCACTCTTTATTTTTCCTTGGACTATAGTAACTTGAACTTTTTACACACTCTCATAACCTAAGTACGTGTAAATACAACAACAGAAAAATTAACATATTGTAAAACTTATTATATCTCTATAAATTATAGATTTTACTATCCTAATTTTTCATGGAATGATTACATATTTGTAGTTCATTGCAATTCCACCGATACCTTCAAGCAGGAATTCTGATTTTTCAAATCTTATCGAGTAACATATTTTTTTTTCTTATTATAAATCGCAGAAAGTACAATTCTTTTTCACACAATGCAGTAAAGCGATATATTACATAGACAAATTAACGAAGGGTAAAGTTTTTTAATTATAAATTATAAATTAATATTGTTAAAAAGATCTATTACTTTCAACGGATGATATTATTTAATATGCCAGCGATTGACTTATATTTGGAATTATGCTCTTTCATTTTTTGATCGACATTATTTCCCGAAATGTGGATTGACTTTCAATGCTAAGAAATAATAACGATCATATATATGTATAATTATAATTCTTTATCTAACAAGATCTTGATGTAACAGATAGATGAGATTTTAATTTGATTAATACAAATTCATGAGTCTGTTTATCTAATACATATATTTGTATAAACACAACACACGTCTGCTTCGATCAATTCCCATTCTTTCTTTATGAAAATTTTAAGAGAACTACTGGAATAAATTTATATAAGCAAATATAAAACACATAAAATATTTATATATAAAATTTGAGGAAACAAACGATTTAATATGTACAATTCGTTTGTTGATCTTTGTATGTAACTTCTTATTGAGACATACAAATTTTGAGATTTAGAGACGTGTCCAAAAAAGAAAAAAAAAAAAACTAATCATTATGCTATACACACTTTTGTAAATAATGCAGGACAATAAATATATGCATAAGATACGTACATTGCAGTAGTAAATAATCGAATACAAATACGAACTTGCGACTTGTACCATCAATGATTAAGCTATAGTATACAAAATATCTAACAAAGATCTCTCAGTATTCATAAACACAGTCCTGCATGAGCTTATATAGATTTACGCGTTAGTGGAAGTCAGAAATCCAATTTGTTGCCAACGTATTCGTTCAACTTTGGATTAAATATTTCGTTAACGTGGCGAATTTCGTTAATTTCCGAATATGCAGTTAACAATCTCCTTATCTGTTAAGTTCATACAGGAATTCATTCGCTTCGAAACAACACATCTGCTATTTTATTGCACAATTGGAAATTCAATAGACAATCGTAATAATATCATGTACGATGCGCTATTGCAGTATTGTTTCATCAGTAAATGCCGGCGCAAAACATTACGTGTAACTTAACGGTGGAGGCATTTGAAAGGCATCTTCCTTGTTGTTGATTTTCTTTACAGCACAGAATGCATATTTCACTGTACCAATGCACGGATCTAATGTACAATATTAATATCTGTATACAGCTGAAGGAACTTTTCTTATACAATGTACAAGTGATGTGGTCTCGTAAAATATCTTATTTACACAAATTTCCACATATGTAGGCTTGGACGTGTGTGATGCATGTAACGTTTTTAAAATTTAGGCACATCGAGAGCACACAACAATGATATATAAGTACATAAGAAGCCTTAGTTATACGAGGACTGTTGTAACTTTGTACACATTTTATATATATATATATATATAATGATATATATATATATATCCTTCCCAATATAATTAATAGCATAAACTAAACACGACAGCGGTTTTTATATAATTTCGTTAAATTATAGCATAGCGGAACTTGAATATAATATCCTCTATGTATGTTCATACCGCATATATACCATTGAGTTTTAATTAATACATTATAACTATTATATATATTCTATCTGTCCCCTTTTAATCTAGAAATGTTCTCTCTCATAGATTTGATTATCATAATGTAACATTAACATATATTTCATGTAGTTTGTACTACACAGATTTCCAAATACCATTCATCTTCAAAACTGATAATTAGATTTATCTAACAAATATGATAACAACATCGATTGGAAATTAATCATTAAAGGCATTCAAAGTGCAACGTATAGAAAATCAAAGTTTCTCTTCCTCTGCACAATAAATTGTATTAAATTTTATACTTTTGCGATCGTTTTGTATACAGAATATCTGTATGTACTTTCATCATACAATTCTCCGTGTTGACGCTGTTTTTGACGTCCATTTGATATTATTTGGAAAAAGAGGTATGCTGTACATTTATTTTATATTGTATATCTATATGAAAAATCTCTTTTTAAACATATCTAAATATATTTAAATAATATAAATCTTTATAAGCGCTTCTGCAATTGATTAGATTTAATGTCGCAGTATTTGCAGATTTATCAAAAATTAACAATCGGCTGTTAACAATTTATATTGTATAATTTTCTGTATACATTTTGTAGTCTTGCTACAATAGCGTCGTCCCTGTATGTATAGTGATGTATGTATGTATGTATGTATGCGTTTTCATTAGTGCAGTGAAATAAACGGGCATCGAATTTTTATGTTATTCTCATCGTACGCATAATATATGTTAACTTTCACGTAGCAGTAATGAGGCAGTACGATTATACTATAGATTTTGTTTAACACGGTAGCAAAATTTCTCATTTTCAATGGCAACAGTAAACTTTAGCACATTTTGTACGTATTTCGTGTAGAAAATTTCTAATCCTTTAATGATCGATAAAATGTTTTCTCAATCTCATATTATATTTAAAAATAATTATATATATATATATTTTCTTTTTATATATAATATACTATGTGATATAACTAAGGCGTAATTATGTACTTGTGTATAAACATGCTCAAGTGTACAAATATATATTCATTTCTCGTATATATGTATATGTAATATATGTATATAGATATATATATCTCTCCATATATTTTTTTATATAATATATATAACACGATATACAACGAATACTGTTAGGTGTATCTTTAAGGCACTCGTGCGAATAAAATCTAAAACACTTGGAACAAATAAGAAAAAAGAAAAACAAAGGCTAAATTGCAATAACAATCCATAAACTTATATACCTAACTGCTACATTTGGTTAAATTGGTCGAGAACTAGAATCGATTGAATGAAAACACTCTTTCACTCTGATATATTAAACCTCTTGTATGATAAATTAGAGATTAGTATGAAACGACTGTCGAACACAATCGACATAAACCCTGTATTAATATAACATTTCATTGTAGCCTCTCAACAAGTTATATCATCTATTCTAACCCCATTTAAAGCCAGGAACTAGTGCTTTAAGGAATTATCGTATCCCCGACATACGTCTTCACATGTTTGTTAAAACGTACAGTGCAGAGTTTCTCACAACTGTATATAATTCACTATCGATATATTCAAATTAACTACTAAATAAACCTGAACATATATATATTTTTTTTTCTTATATATATATATATATATATATATATATATTCAGCATAAATTAAGTGCGAGACACGCGAAAAGAGGTGGCTAAAAGTATCACCATAATAATGTGTAAAATTTGCGATAACGGAGATTTTGGGGTTGTTGCATGCGGAGCATCACTATCCAGTGTTTGAACACTGTGCACATCACGAAATGAAGTATGTTTAATTTTTTAGGTGGTTTTGTACAAAGAAATACTGCAGAGCTTGAGATTGGCCTCTCAGACTGCGCATTGAGAATTCCTCTAATATTAATATCACGGGTGTTTGCCTCCGCGTTATGGCAATATATACACTCATAATCAATGTCTAGTTACGCTGGACGTAGCTTCTCTCCATAATATTCTCTGATCGCACACCACAGCTTTTTCGTATTAACAGCTATAGTATGAGCTATGAGACATCGATTACTTCGCCTAACAACGTCGTTTCAATAAATATAAGCAATGACAACAATAATGTAATAAATATAATCGTTTAACGTGTATTCATTGGTAGATATTTTCAATGAATGTGTGTGTAAGTGTGTGTCCTCAATTGCCTCGTGAGACACATAATTAAAATTTCGTACCATTACACACATACACACACACACACACACACACACACACACACACACACACACACACACACACACACACACACACATCTGAAATAACATTGATAAAATATTAAAAGTGCTTTAAATAAAATTTCGCAAGCAACAGTAACTTTAAAAGAAGCCCCATCCACTTTAAGTGTATTTACCACCAACACATGATGAGAATATATCGACAATTTTATACATTCGTGTGTATAAATTGCAAACAGCTATATGTCAAATCAACCTTATACCACATGAAGATAAATTACTTCAATATCTCATAGCTCAGATCCTTTCATATATATGTATAATATAGGAATGTTGTTTTATCATATCTCCCTCGTACAATGACTCTGTTATTATCACGGATAATAATAGAGGCATGATCATTCATACGCATCTTTGTACCGTCTTAACACCATATACATTTCTTTACCAACGTGATATATTGTCGATATACATATTGTTTTTTTTTCTTTTTTGAAAAAATTGGAATGAGACGAACGTTGATTATATGTATATACATATACATCCATGTATGTGTATGTATATGCGCGCGCGCGCACACACACACATATACATATACACATGTGTATATGTGCTATATAATTATTTATATAAGTCTCTTCAGGTTCTTTCGATATAAATAAAGATTCGCAGTGAGCACATTCAGCGGTTGAATCACTCATAAACTTTGTACAAATGAAAAAGATCAGAGTCTCTCGAGGAGTGTAAATAATCTATAATGTGTACTACAGCTTTGTTAAAGTCTTTGGCTAAACATCTAATTGCGATCTAGGATTGTCTGTCGGGTAACTTTCTGTTAATGATGACCCACATCGGTTGACTTAGCTAATTCAGTGCACTTTGTGTGTATGTGAAGCGTTCGTTATCTAACGGTTAAAGTTACGATGCCGACGCCATTAACAGTAGCAGTCGTCTCGAACTGCGTACTAGTCTAGCTGAGATACAAAAAGGACATTTCATAGAATCCTTCAATTATCGTCGCGGATGATGCTCGCAGGAGATTGGCGCTGTAAGCCGTAATTACGATCACAGTAATTGTATACTCCGAGTAACTTACGTGAGGTTATTTGTCAAGGTCGTTCTGCTTCTTCGGACTTTGTCCCGTATGGTCGAAATTTTTTGCGACATCCTGAAGAAAAAGGACATGATGATTTTACCACGTCCGTACACGCAAGTGTTAATCCTCGTGTCTTAAAGCGATCTTTACCACGTGACGTTTGTCACGCACTAATTAGCAAGACGAACAAGACGGAATGAAGAAAAATAGCAAGACAGACAAATTACGAGGCATTGAGAGGGGATCAGAGAAAAAATGCAACGTACCTGTACTGCGATTTGCAACGGCGTCAATTCACCTACGGAACAATCATTTCGCACGACATTCGCCGGCATTAACCTGGGGCAAGGCTTGCCCGTGAAGAGCATGAACAGCGTGTGGATGCTTCTGCGTTGCGTCAGCTCTATATGGCGATGTTGGTATCCAGCTAAGTGGCGCCGATGCCGCGACGTTGTGGGGAACCACCTCTCGCACAAATTACAGTATCGTCTGTGTTTTATCGTCGCCTGCGATAACACGTTGCAAGAACAGAAGAAAAGAATGAAATGACAAAGGGTGAAGAGAAAGAAGAACATTAGAGTCAACGTCGCCATATCGGCCGGGCTGTCTCTCACCTTCTCGTGATAAGCTAATTGGGTGATGAAATCGCCGATGGACATCTCGCTCTTCTTGTGGACGTCCTTAATGTCGCTCTCGATTTTATTGTCCGACGTTATGACTTTGTCGTTGTCTACCAGCTTGGACGCGGCCACGTCGGCGTCCGCGCTGTCTTGATTCGTGATTACCGGCGGTGACCTGGAGCTATCCCGGTCGGAGCCGGCGTCGAAGCTGACGACGACCGCGGGCTCCAAGATCGGCATGTTGTCCTCCTTCGGCTTGGTTCCCTTAGCCGCTGGGTTGCCGCTAGCGTTGCTCCTCTGATCCACGGACTTGGAGATCTTGGGAATCTTGTAGGACGATATCTTGTTGTCTTCCTTGCGTCGTGACTGAGGTATGGTGTCTGTTTGGTCCCCTGGATTCTTCTTCCTCTTCTCACTCAAGTTTATAACGCGAGGTGGGTTCTCGTGCAACGCGGCCACCTGGCCGAATCGCTTGAAGGTCTTCAACGATATCGTGGTGCATTCGTGCGCTTTCTTCGTCATGACCCTGGAGTCCGCACAAGGGAGCGTGGGGCAACGAAATTGTCGCTCTTCGTCCTTCTGATCAGGCAGTTTCACCTTCTTCTTCACCAAGACATTCTTATTCGATTTGGAATGTTTCTTATCAGACTTTTCGGCACTAGTTAAACTCTCAGTCTTGTTGTCATGTCTACTGACCGCGGGAGTCGAAGGAGCTGTCTGAAGGGTGACGTCGCCGCGACAGCCTTGAGGGGCGTCACTTGACTTAGGATGCGTCTCCGAGAGACTGTTGAGATCAAAACTCGAGCCCTGCTTTTTCTCCGCAGCTGTCTTCGGCTTCGCGCTGCTGCCCTCGCATCTCGACTTCGAAAGGCACTTCTTCAAGGTCTCCTTGGCCGCTAAAACTTCCTTCATCAAGGAGTCGTTACAACAGAATTTCTTCTCCATCAACGCGGTCTCCGAGCTCGCTTTCTTGCCGCACGGCAAATCCTCTGGGATCTCTTCGACGTAGTCGACCGACTTCACGCACCCTGACGCGAGTCTGTCGTCGCCACTGATATCGATCTCCACATGTTTATCCTCGCCGAGCGGATTCTTCGCGCGATGCAGAGGCTCGAGCTTGCCGGGGCGTTCTGTCTTGAACATTGGATCGCCGTGGTACTCATCGTACACGTGACGTGAACTGTAAGCGATAGGGTTGAGCCTCGGCATCGATACGTCCAGCAGGTCGATATTGCTGTTGTCAGTGATCTCCAGCTCCAGCTCGAATTGGGTCGGGATGGCATCCGCTGGATACAACTGCTCGCTGTCGCCGTCGTCGATCATGTGGCTGTCCAGCTCGCCACGGCTGTCGTCGAGCGAGGCCGGCAAGATCTCGATGGTCGTCTGACTATCGTCCGAGGACTCGACCTTGATGACGGTGTTGCTGTTCATCTCGAAGGTGCTCAACACATCCGCAGACTCCTCCTTCAGCAAGATGACGTCGTCCTGCAAGCTGCACTCGATGTCCATGTCGTCGGGACTCAGTCGTTCCTTCACCGTGACCTTGTCGTCGTCCTTGCGCAAGAAAAGATCGTCCTCTTTGCTCTGCTCCTTGTCCTCTCGCACTTCGATTTCCTCGAAGGCTGCCTCGCTTAAGACGAGCGACTTGACAAAGCAGTCTTCCGCCTTGGTCGGAGCTTTCAACTCCTTCAACGCGGTCTCAAAGTTCGTAGAGCTGAAGCGCTGCCGACTCTTCTGGTCTTCGAGTTTAACCGGGCTATCCTCTTCTGTCTTTGCTGTCTCCTCCTGCTTTATGTCGTCGGTCTTGCATTCGTCGCAACGATCATCCGCGACTTTCTCAGAGCTAACTCTCCTATTGCTCCTTGGCTGCTCCTTCTCGAGGACATCCGCTCGGGAGTTGTTATCGCGGGAGCGCGATCTACGCTTGTCGTCCTTCCGACACTCGTCAGTCGTCTTGCCGTGACTCCTGCTGGAGCCGTTCCGCTTCGGCGTGCCGCACGTCCTGGTTTCCTTGACGTCTCCTTGGTCTCGCGCGAAACTCGAGTCGCCATCCCTCGACGCACCGATGGTCTTCCCGTAGTCGTAATCCGACATCCTCCTCTGCTTGCACTTGGCTGGCAACAAGTCGGACGTCGAGTTCGACCTGGAGAGCCTATGAAGGTCGCGGTCGCGCTCTTTCCGACGGAAACAGCTGTCCTTGTGGCTCGCGAATATCTTGTCAATGATTCGCAGCGACACGGGCGTCAAGGAAGACGAGGACATGAGGTCCTTCGCCATGCTGTCGAGCACTCGGTACCTCTCCAGCTTCACCTCCGGCTGCCACTTGGCGCTCTTGGCAATGATGTTCTTGCCGCTCTTGCTCAACTCGCACTTGAACTCCGCGCTGGCCGACGTCCTCTTGATGATGACCTTCGGTATCTTCTCCGAGATGCAGATCCTCGGGCTCTTCTTCAGCTCGCAGTCCGCCACCGTCGCGCTCGTGCGCGCTGAATCGCTGTTGCTGCGCCGCGTATAGTGGCCGACGGTATCTTCGCGGCTCGACCTCTTGTACCTCTTGGTCGGCAGGTCCGAGTGGCTGGAGCTTTGCCTCTTTCGTATGACTTCCGGCGACGACGACCTGTTCCTCTCGTGCTTCCTCAGCTTTAGAATAGGTATCTTCTCCTCGTGCCTCTCCGGGTTTCTCGGCTCCGACTCGGACGTCGCGCTGTTGTAGACCGAGTTGTCCGACTGGTCAGACCTCGGCGAGTTCTTAATCTTCACCTTCGGGATGGTCTTCTTCATGCTCCTGCGTCTCGCGGAAAGCTCCGCGGCGTCCTCCGCTCTCACAATCTTGTTCGCGTGTTTCTCATCCAGCTTGATCTTCATCTTGGGTATCTTGTTCCTGCAGCTCGCCGGATCCTGCGTAGACCTCTCGGTCTCGTTCTCGCAGAGGTCTTCGCGCGTCTCGTGCGTCATGATCGAGATCCGCTCGGAAAGGCTCATCTCGGCGCAAGATGTTTCGTCGGGGACGGCCTCGATGGACGGAGTGCCTGGACGGGATCTCGCGTTCCTGATAATCATCTTGGGTATCTTTGGCTGGCAGCTCGGTCTTGAAACGGACTTGTTAACACCGTCCGTGGGGGAGGAGGAGGAAGAGGAAGAGGAACTCATCTTCGTGACGAACTTGGAACTGGCCTCGGTCTTCTTGATCACGAGCTTCGGCACTATCTTCGTGTTGGCGTTGCAGTCCGTCGCGCGTAGGTACGCTACCTTCTCGTAACTACTGGAAGAAACTAGATTCTGTTCCTCTCGCTCGTCGGCCTCCTCACCGTCACATGTCGCTTTGAACTTTTCCAGAGGCGGCGGCGGCGGCGGTGGTGGCGGCGAGGGCGGCGGCGGCGGCGGCGGTGGCGGCGGGGGCGGCGGCGGCAGCGCCGTCGATTCGGCCGGCGGTGGCGGTGGTGCAGACTCTTCCGGCTTGTCCTCCACATCGCAGGGCAGCTCCAGTAGCCGCGATTCCTTCATCGCTGACCTCGACAGAGTCAAGTTATCCAGTAACGAGTTGTCGTCGCTACGCAGCGAGTTGGCAGCGGCCGCAAAATCGATCGACGACTCGTCGAGGCCGCACAGCCGGTTCACGGCGTCTTCCTGGATCTGACTGGTCTCCCACTCCATTGGCACCAAACTGTCGTCCTCAGTGAAGTCGTGCTCGGATATCTGCATCAAGGCGCAGCGCTCCTCCGCGTAGATCCCGCAGTCGGACGAGTCCATGCACAGCAACTTGGAATCGATGATGCTGTCGTTGGTCTTGGCGGCTTCCTTCGCCTCGGGCTCGCCGTCCTGCTTCTTGCTATCGGCCTTGATGATATTCTTGATGACGGTGAACTCCGAGATATTCTGCTCGCACGTCTCGCTCACGAATATGTCGCACACGCTCTCTTCGGCTGGCGCTGGCAGCGAGTCCAACATGGCGGCCGGCTCGAACAGCTCCACGGGGCCGGCGCAGTCGTCCACCTTGTCGTTCCTCGGACTTGTTCTCGATGAGTTTTCCGCCAGCTGTTCGTCGAACGTTTGCGACACAGCCGGGACCACATCAATCGGTTCCTGTGAGCTGATGAGCGCCTCTTCTTCTCTGTGGGAGTTCTCTTCAACGCGCGCGTCATCATTGCGTCCGCTCGCCTCATCGTCGAAATACACCTTGTCCGCGGCAAGCGGCATCGCCGCCTCCTCGTCTTCGCGGATGGCTGACGTCGACTCCAAGAGTTCTTGGTAAGCAACTTGCACGTCAGGCCCCGGATTGTTGCCGACGGAGCTGTCGATCTCGTCGGCTGCTTCGTCCGCAGGTGGCTCTTCTACTGTTTCGACGGTGCTTCTCGGTGCATCTGGCAGGTGGTCGCCATTAGCGCTCGATTTGGATGGACTCGTAGCCTCCTCAACGTCCTTGCCCGAGGGTTCGCTCACGCTCGGCTGCTCGTCGCTAGGTTTGTCTTCGAGCGGGGCGCCATCGTCGAGCACGACGGAATCCGTCAATTCTTGCGCTTCCTGAAGGGGACTCGCGAGCCGCTGGTCTTCTTCCGAAGCGCGAAGGTCCTCGTCCGCGGCATCGGGGTCACGGGGCTGCGCCTCTTCGGCCAACGCGGTTGTGGCGGCGATTTCGACTTGGTCGAATTGGGAATGCTCTTTATCGAGAATGCTCTCTGCATATGCTCTCTCTTCATCGTGCGTGATCGCTGATTTGTCGTTGACCTCCGTCGTTGTTGATAACACGACGTCTTGATTAGCGCTCGTGACTTCCGGCTCATTATGTGTGGCGGTGCGCAACTGCTCGCAGCGCTGCAAATCGTCGTCCAAGGTGTAACTGCAGCTTGTGCGGGCCGGCTCGCTGGACGCTTTGCAGTCGTCGCTCGCCCTGCGATCGCCGTCGAGAGACTCTTGCTCCACGTGTAGGCACGGCAATGAGAGTCGTTTCTGCTTGCCGAAGATCTCGCTGAAGTTCAGCTCTTTCAGGCTGCCGCTGCTCCTGCGGTCGATGTGTGACGAGTACGACTTCACCGACTCCATAGTCTCGTCCCAGCAGACAGCCCGCGGCTCCAGGAATATGTTCGGCTCGAGCACGGAGCTCTCGTTGTAGCCTTTCTCGTAATCGAGATTGTCGGCCAACACCTTCGTCTTGGAGTGTTTGATATTGGACGGCGACTCGACGACGTCCGGGTCGCACGGTTTCTCGAGGAAGCTCAGGTCCACGACGTTCTTCTTGCACACTTCTTTGCTGTCTTGCTGATCGCTTCTGTTCGTGTACAGTTTGTCTGCGTCGTCGTTGAAGAACTCCAGATGAAGAGTGCCGCGGGTCTTCGTGTGATGGGCGGTCTTGTTCAGCAAGTAGTCCGCAGGATCGACTTCTCTCTTCCTGGCGGCGACGTCGCGGCTCCTTTTGAACACCTTGCGCAGCTTCGAGCAATTGTAATAGTCGAATGATGTGAGGTACGGCTCCCGGCTGTTGTTGGCATAGGCCTCCTTCGCGCGAGCTTCCATGAGCAACTCGTGGTATGTGAATCGGGGATTAGGGCTGTAGGTGATCTTCCCGTCCTTGGTGGTGTACACGGGCACCATGTTCAAGTTCTCCAGCTCGTCCACGTTGAAGAAGATTGGGTTCATGTAGCCGTTGGCGGTCTCGTACAGGTCCAGGCTGCTGAATCTATCGTCGTCCTTCTTCGTCCACCTCCACCTGTCCGTGCGCTTGTCCTCGGCGTCTGTGTTTTCGTTCGGGGCCACGTCGAAGTGATCGTAGTCGAAGTGCGCCGAGTTGTTGTCGTAGGCAGCGCTTTCCGGCGGGTCAGGCTCCGCTGTGCTCGATGAGGTCGACGCGCCGGCGTTCAACCTGGACAAGACGCCATCCTGCGAGCTTCTCGCGTTCCTGCACAGGAAAGCAACGTTCGCCTCCTGGTGCTGCTCCTTCTTCTGCGCGTTGCCGCTTCTCGAGCTTGCTCCTGTGTGCGCCGGATTGTCCAAGGAGGTGCAATTCGACTCCTCGGTGCTCGCGGGGTAATTGTTAGCGACGATCTTCTTTTCTGCTTCTTGGTGTACGCTTCTGCTTCTGACCGATGTATGTTCCGATTTCGGAGTCTCCGAGGGGCTCGCTGCCGGCTGCTCGGCTTCGATGTTCACGTCACCTGAAAGGATATCATCTCGTGAGGTCGAGCTGACATATCAGAACAATTATCATAATTACTATATTATCATAATTTGTTATAATTAGTTCAGATTATCATTACTAGTGTCGTGTAATTAGATATAATCCTTGAATTGTGCATAGTTTAGTTTAGTTTCTTTCTTTTTTATGAGAGACTTAAAAACAAGATACGAAGGACAATTATATTCCCTTTCTGCTCACAGGCGGGCTATCCTTGCTTTGTTTACTTATTAACAATATTTCTTCGACATTAAAACTATCAAAGCGGTCAGAAAGATGACTGGTTTGCAATCTCTTAGAACAATTTCTCGAATTTACATAACAACGCATTCTCAATGCTTTTTCAACGAACGATCTGAATAAAACTGAATACGTTAGAAATAAATTTTCTAACGTACTCTTTAACAAATTGCGACTTTATGCGGTAATAATTCAAGCGGTAATTGATAGTTCAAACGTCAAGGAAAAGAGCGTGTAAATAAAACAAGATAAAATCTTAGCGCATAAGTAGCAGAAGGGTAACAAAGGTGAAGAATTTCTGGATACTCGCCACCATATTAGACGTCGGAACCTAGGCAGCACATCCTCAGGATGATCCTGGATATATAGTCCAGGATGTCCTGGGGTTTTTAGGATTATGGAAATATCTTGTTCCAGGATATTCTGGATTATCTGGTATTTAGGATAATCTTGGGTATTTAGTTGTGTTATTGTAAATACTTCAAATGAGAATCTCACGTATATATTTATTTTTATTAATTGCAGTGCAGGATTAGAAGCAATTTCAGAATGTTGAAGCAACTGTAATAACATATAAATCTTTCATAAAGATTTACTGTATATCCGCTAGTCTCAAATAGCATAAAAACCCAGATAGCACAATCTTCTGAATGATATCTCAAGAATAAGCTCAGTAAAGATATAGCATATTGAATTTGTTGATTCCGAGTTGCGTCGAGATATATGCGCTTTCTGTTTTTCCCGTTTAAATTATATATATAAGGAAAAGAAAACGTTCGATGTTCGATCTTAAATCGGAATTTGGCAAGTTGAATACATCAATAGCCCGATTTCTTGTAGATTCAAAAGATTTTAGAATTCTAAGAGATTGTTTCTAAAAATGAAATTAAACTATTAATATATATTCAACTTACCAATTCCTATTTAAAATCGAGTCAAATGCTTTTTTTCCTTATATTTATAATTCAAACGGGAACTCGACACAATCTGGACTCAGCAAATTCAATAAATTACGTTTTTTCTTTTCCTTCAGACGCCTAAAAAACATATCCCATAGAACGTTCTCAGGACGTTCGACAGGATACCCTCTGGATGTTTTAAAGTATTCAGCTAGTATTCAGCTATCATTCTCTCCTCCTCAGGACATCCAAAGTATAATCTCCCAGGATAAAATTTGGATATCCACAGGATATCTGCAATATCCATCTTGGATGTTTTTAGGATTTCCGGAGGATGTCACTGTGCTATCTGAGAAACGAAAAGGAAATTCTTGCGTGCCATTTCCAGGTAAAAAATGATTCGCGTGAAAGAAAACTTCAGAAACATACTTGTCACATCCTCCGAACACTAATCTTCTCCCTTGACAGTCAATCAACAAGCACAAAATGACTAATATGAAGCCTAGTCGGGCGCATGAGCAATCATTTCGTATGACTAGCCTCATATTATAGTCATTTTACTGCTGTTGATTGACTTTCAAGGGAGAAGCATTCGACAAGTATGCTCTAACGACCTCAATTCCTTCATACCAATATTTTTTACTCGGAAACGGCAGATTTTGAACGTCCGTTTCCTCATTTCCAACGCCGCCAATCGAGAATTTCGCGGCGAGCGGGCAAAAGTCTTAAGAAAAGAAGGTAGAAATAGAGTAAGATAAAAGCTTGATGATAAGTAGAACAGAAATAAAAATGAAACGCAAGCAGTTTACATGTTTATCGCTCAAATTATCTTGCGTGGAGACAAAAATGTTTGGTTGAATGGGAGAATTTTCTGGTGAAATATGAGCGATTGAAAAATTCCGGCTCAAGTTGTCGGAAATCAGTACGAATTATCCAGATTTTCTGTCAACTCGAACAGAATTCTGCCATTTCCAATCGGAATTCCCGAATATTCCGTTCATATTCCAGCAAAAAATTCCTTTCGTTCCATCAAATATTTCTTCCCACGTAAGAAAATACTCCAGAAAATGTTATTCTGGCGAAGCCTTCTTTGCTTGCCGGAGAATGTTCGGTTTATGCATATAAGTCTATGCAGATATACTTACCTTTGACCTCGTACATATTGTTAACAGTCTCTCGCTTCGACGACAACAAGCTCCTCTTGCTCGGGCCGAGCGAGCTGATGTTGTCATCGCTTGTCGTGGCTTCCATGCTCGCGACGGACTTGTGCTTCGTCGCTTTCGCGTTGTCCTGGTCAGATTTGCGCGCTAGCTCGTCATATGCAGCGTCCGTCAAGGTGGGCGGGGAACGGTCGCGCTTGTCGTAGTCTTGGTCGTGGAGCGCCTTCTTGTCGCACTGCAGCTCCACGAGGTTCGTCGAGCTCGACCTGGCCCCGCTCGAGATCGAGCTGGTGAGGTGGCCGATCGTCTCGGCGACGGCGTTCTTGATGTTCTCGTGCAGCAGCTTCTCCGTGGTGTTCCGTTCCGTGCACGACACGTTGATCTCGATCTTGATCGCGTCCACGGAGCCGCTCTTCGCCGCCTCCTCGCCCAAGTACTGCAGCTCCTGCTGGTGATCCTTGTTCTTGTCCTTGAGCTTCAGATTCACGTTCGTTACCTGAATCGCGAAGTCAGAGTTCATGTTCTTGCTCATAAACGTCTTCAAGATGGAGTGCTTCCTCTCCGGCTCCTCCGACGACTTGTAACTCGCGTCCTCTTGACACAGTTGCTTGTCGCCCATCAGCCGCTCGTCCGGGCTCTGAGCCGGAGACTGACCCTTCTTGCTCGCCCTGAAATCGGAGGCCTCTTGCGCGTCTTTGCTCTTGCCCGCAGTCTCTGCGCTACCGGGCGACTTGTACTTGATTCGCCTGTACTGCTTCAACAATCGCAGTCTCTCCCGATTCTCGTCCATATTGCCGCCCGTGCTCGTCCTCGGCTCGTGCCGCGAGACCTCGGGCTCCTTGAGATCTTCGCCAGCGCCGGATCTTGCTCGGTGCGTCGCTGACGCCTCCTGAGTATGCTTGTTGTGATGTACGGTCGCCTCGCTGCATTTCTCCGCGAGCTTCTCGGAGTTCACCTGGTTGCTTATTGACCTCAGCTGCTCCGTGTGTCGAGCCGCGTGTCGCTCCTTCCTCGAGCCTTTCGTATCCCCCTTCAGTAGTTTATTGCCGCTTCTCTCCGCTTGGCAGTCTCTCTTGGTGGACTTGTCGCCGGCGAGCGCTTCAGCTTTCCTCAGCTTATCGTGACCTGAAGCAGCCGGGTGTTTAGTACCATGCGACGTAGACGGATTTACCTTGACGATCTTGGCTGTCTGGCCGTGGTCTTCCGGCCTGGAACCTCTGGACGCCGCGTCACTCCCCAGCGAGTGGTCCGAAACACTTCTCTTCTTGCCGGATGACGCCCTCGCCTCGCCCCTGCTCGCCTTCGACGCGCGCGCCTCAGCGTAACGAGCATCGTCCCGGGCCGGCGGCGCGTCCGAATCGGCCGTCGCGATGTTCCGCAACGACTCGTTCAATTCCGCCGAACACCTCGCGAGCGCTCGCGACTTCGACCGACTTTCCGGCGAGTTATCTGCCTGAGACTTCGGGTCCGCCGAGTCGTGAGGCGCACTTTGCATAGACGTCGGCGCGATCTTTAATTCATAGTCGCCGGGGCTCAGAGTCATGCGTAGGCCAACCATCTGCGCGCTGCCGTCCGCGGCGTCCAGCGGGGAGGCTCTTTCGTTGACCGTCGAGCCGTTTTTATTGCTCCTACCCGCGCGCTCCTTATCGTCATGTCTCGTGGACTCGTTCTTATCGGTGCCCGTGGCGAATTCAAATCCGCCGAGAACGTTATCGTGGCCGAGCGCGTTACTAGCTCCGTGCTCATGTTCGAAACGAGCCTCCCCCTGATAACGAGCGTCCAATGATGAATCGGCCGATTTGCTCTTCGTGTCGCCAGTCTCGTCGCTCAGGTGGTCGTACGGCTCTCGTCGCATCGGCGACTGCGTGAAGCTGATGATCGGGCTGTTCTGCACGACTTCTATAGGGTTGGTCGATATCGTGAGATCCTCCACGCGCTCCGACGACTCTTCGCTGTCCGAGTGGATGGGGGTGTTGAGGGTGGTGGAGATCGGGGTGCACTCGGACGTCGGCAGGTCCGGCAGACTGATGTCGTCCGGGTTGTGAGATTCCTCGCTCGTGAAACTGCTTTGCTTCTTCAAGTTTATGGCCTCGGCGGCGGCATCCAGACTGTCCTTGGCTGGTGTCGCCAAGCTGCTCCCTAGTCCCACTTCCTCCTGATGCCCGTCGCTCGCTTGCGATGTGCTCTCCGCCGTGTTCTTGCCTGGCGACGAGGTCTCGACGATGTACTTGTCCTTGCCGAGGTCCTCCAGGTTCGTACTGTACTCGACGGTGGTCGTCGACTCGCCGTTGTCGCTTTTCTTCAACTCCTCCGTCTCGAGAGTTATCGCGCTCGCCTCGACCTCCGCGCCCTCGTGGAAGAACGACACCGCCTCTTGCCTCTCCAAGCTCTCGGCCACTTGGCCGCTGGTCACCTGCAGGATACTACCGATCTCCAGGTTGTCAACTATGTGTATCGTCGGCACTTCGTCCGGCCCGTTGCTGATACACTGTATAATACTCCCCGGCTGCACGATGCCTTCCTTCGCGATCTCCTTGCCGCTCGCGTCCTTGGCGGCTTCGAGGTCTTTCGCGGACGAGTAGGATATCGTGAGGCAGGAGTCCTGCGCGGACACCACGGTGGCGTCGCTCTTGTCCTGGTTCTCGAATGTTATCACACCCGCCGACGGGATCTCCTGCGAGCCCTTCGAGCCCTCCAGACTCTCCAACGTTTTCGCCGTGGACAGGTCCACGTTCTCGTAACCCACCACCACCACCGGCGTCGACTCGCTGAGCACGATGTTCTGCATGTTGCCGTTCGCGCCGTCCTCCTCCTCGGACTCGTCCCAGTTGGCCAGGAACTGCCGGACGTCGAGCTCCGGCTTGTCCGCGAACTCCTTCGACATCTTCTGCTGCATAGCGGTGCTGTCGCTCGCGCCGCTGCTGAGGTTGTTGAAGCCTTCGCCGGCTGTCGTCTTCTGCTGCACCTCGAACTGCACGCACGGCTCGAGGCTCTTCTGCACCGGCTGGTACCGTGGCTCCTGCTGCTTCTGCAGCTCGCCCGGGCACAGGGTGGTCTGCGCGTGAGCGTCGTGTTGTTGTTGCTGCGGCAGCAGCTGCTCCGGCGGCTTCTGGACACTGTGGGTCACCATGTCGGGGATCACGTTGTTGGGCTCCGGCTTGTTCTGCTTGTCCGCGCTGTCCGTCGGCACCTGTGGGTTCAACACCTGCTGTATCTGCGGGAAGGCCTCGGGCATGTAGCTGGAGTTGATGAGCACGCCGTTCTGGTCGAATTGTAGGTTTATAGGCGGCACGGAGGAAGCGTTGACGGCCGTCGACGCGGTGCTGCTGACGCACGGGGCGGTCTGCTGGATCTGACCTTGGTAAGTGACGGTCTGCTGCAGCTTCAGCAGCTCCCTGTACTTGAGGAGACACTCCTTGTACCTCGGGTGCGACTGGTAGCCCGGCACTCTCGCCAGTTCCCTCAGCTGGTTCTCCATGGAGAAGCGCTGCATCGCTATCTTCTGCTGGTACATCTGGTACCGGGAGTGAGACGGGGGATGAGACGATGGGTGAGGCATCGTCGGCATCTGCACTCTGTTCACTAGGGGCACGTTGTCGGCGACCTCTTGGCAGTCGTGCGCCGCCTCCGCCGGCAGACTCCGCGGGTACTGCGGAGGGCCGAAGTAGGTGCCCTGTGCGGACGGCATCATGCTGGGATTCACACTCGCGGGCGGCATGCCGCTGCTGGGCATCATGCCACTGCTCTGATACGCCACTTGTTGCTTGCCGCTGTACTTTTGCTGCTGCGCCACGTACGGCCCCGGCTCCTGATGCTTCACCATTCCCTGGCTCGGTATGTTCATGTTGCTCACCTTGGAGTACTCCTTCATATTGTACGGGTACTTCTGGTACTCGCCTGTGTAGTTGTAGTTCTGTATAGGGTAATTCTGCATCATAGCCGAGGTGGGCGGGTAGCTGCGCGACAGCAGACGGTCTTTGCTGCGGTACTTGTAGTCGGGGAAGTTCCTCCGGTGATCCGGTGCGTTGGGAGGCGCGTTAGGTACGATGGACGACGGTGGGGGCGGGGGCGGCGGCGGTGGCGGGAGGACCTCCTTGCCGTCGAAATTGTCCTTCCTGAAGTTGAAGTCGTTGCCGAAGCGGCGGGTGTCCGCCTGGTAGCCGGACGCGCGCATGTTGTCCCGGTAGGTCGCGTTGTTCTGGTAAGAGCAGTACTTCTCCCACTGCTGGTAACCCATGTTGGGGTCCGGGTTGCAGCACAGCCCCTTGCAGGAGACAAAAGACGGCGGGCCCGTTCTGCTGCTGGCGTGAGAGCTCACGTTGCTGTTGCGCGGCGCCATGGACCCGTGCGGGCTGTTCATGTTCATCACGCTTGGTCCATTCAGGTGGGAGATAGGCCCGTTCAAAGGCACCTGGTTGTTCCTGTAGGCTAAGTCTTCGTTCAGGCCGCCTATCGCGCCGCTCCTCGGGTCCATCGGACCGTTCAGATTGTCCACCATGGGATTTCGCGCACCCGTCGGCCCATAATGGCCGATGCAGTTCTGCATCTGCACCATCGACGCAAGAGGGGTGCTGTCGGCGGCATTGTGGCCGTGCGGGATGTTGGTCGACAGGTGCGGCTGGAAATGCCTGGGGTTAAAGGCCGGGTCACTGTGGTGCTTGTCATGCCCCTCTGTGCTGAGGTTCAGGCTGTGGTTCAGCTGTGTGGAGCTGATGCTGGAAATGAACGACAGGTGTCCCGAATTGACATTTTGAGCAGTGGACGTCACGTCGTTTATTCCTGATTGCGGCGGCGGATTATATTGATGCCAATCTGGCATGTTTCCACTGTAGTTCATTGTACATTGTTTTGCTATGATGTTATTGTAATTACATTACATCTCCTCATACACACGTCGGAGATCGTCCGGTAAGCGAGTTAAGAGCAGGAGAACCTAAGGAGAAGAACAGACGGGACATCGTTACACTTCGCGCACAATGTCGCCGCGAGAGAGAGAGAGAGAGAGAGAGAGAGAGAGAGAGAGAGAAACGAATCGTCCGAGGGAGCCCATTCGCGCGATTCACCGCGCGTTTCTTCACCGTCGCGATTTCGAGACACCAGTGCCTCCCTCCGTGCATCATCGCGACACTTGACGCGGCGATAACATCGCGAGCAAAGTCGAATTCGCGCGGAGTTACCTCGCACAAGTACAAGGACGACCTAAATATCACGGCGACAGCCGTTGATCGCGTCGTTGTAAAGTCGCACTCGCCAACGTGATCGCATGGCCTCGTTGTATGTTAATGACGGCGCAATATTTGACACGTAAACCCGCTGCGCGAAGCAACACGCGCCGACGTTGGCGACGACGACTGTCAACAACGCGGCGACGCGCGTTCGCCGAGCACTGTCGAGCGCTGGTCCGACGCTGACAAATGACACCATATTTATCGGAGCTGTGGCCATTGTTACGGTTAGCCTATGTGAACGCGACGCGTCGTGTTTACCGTCGCACGCGCTCCCGCCGTCGGCGACGGCCGCGTAACGCGCGCGCGATAGCCCCGTAATTGACGCGCGCCTCCGCCGAGAGCCGCGCATACACACGGCGATAACGCACTGCCTCGCTACGTACGTTTGACGGACCTTGAAAGTTCTACTTGACTGACACAGTACCAGCGCGGCGGACGAGCGAACGCTCGCGGCGGTCTCTCAGTGGTCGCGCCCGATCGCGCGATCGAGACGAGCACTCGCTGCACGACGTTCGGCCGGCCTCATCGCCGAGGTCGGTCGCGCTCGAGGACGCGAGACCTCACGACTTTCCTCCTTACCTGCACTTTAACATCACTCATACGCACACGCCATATTGGACACGACTGCTCGCTTGAGAAAAACATCACGCGCCCTCTGCCATGAAAGAAGCGACCCGTTTCGTGAGTCGTTTAAAGGCCGGTTCATACGCGCTGCGTCGTTACGTAAGCGCACGCGCTGAGGCGAGTGGACCAATCGCGCGGCCTGCTCGGCAGTCGACGGACTGCTCGTTTTATGCATCAGACGCGCGATTGGCCTCGACTTCGCCGAGGATCGCGCTCGCGTCAGTTCATTTACATTTAAACCTTAACGGCGACGTTTAAATAAATACGTATGTACGGAGCGTGTGCGTGACCGACATATGCGTGCGCGCGCGCGCGCGTGTGTGTGTGTGTGTGTGCGCATGTCAGCACCTGGCCACACGTGCGACATGTATGGGAGACTTGTAAAAATATAGCACTAATCGCCTTACGTTCTGCTTGATACAGTCGAACTGTACGCCCTGCGGAACGGTTGTTGCAAGTTCCGTTACAATCGGACCGTCATACACGAGAGAACGTTATGTTATGACGCGTCGATATCGAGTGAAACTCGAGTTTCCTCAATGCATGTAATTTTGTTGTAATAAAGTTGATGCAGTTTCTTCTTATCAACTCTGTCTATTACCAGAAATTGATCTCAGTAACTGGTGATAAATCACATGAAACATTATCTCTTCTCTGCAAGGTGAAATGTATGTACACGTACAAGCGCTAAGGTGGATCTTATGTCCCATTAGACAAATGAAAGGATGTATTCGGCCTGGCATATCATAATTTATTTTTTTACAGAGATACATGCAAATTATTACATGTCACTTGTGTGAATTTTTAAAACTTGCATCATACACCTCAAAATATTATATATTATTGCTTGTTTTTACATGGAAGTAGTTGCAACTTATCAACACTAAGAATGCAAATGAATTTGAATATTGTGTGCACACACACATACACATCATATTATATATATATATAATGGCAAAAATATAAAAATTCGTTTTCAAGATAGAGAATATGCACAAGTCCAAGTTCTTAAAATATATTGCATTATTAAATGTACGCTATTTTTCAAGTTTCATAAGCCTTTGATTTACTCTAGAAAAATAACTTTTCATAAAAAAAGTATGCTTATGTATTTCGTGTCAGTTATGTCGTATCAGTTATGTAAACAATTATAGATATATACAAGTGAATATGAGATACTACAATATATATATATATATATATGTATACTTGCTATACTCAAATGTAAAAAGTAGATTAAGTCTGAGAGGAGTATTTTACCATAAACTGTGGTTTTGTGTTTACAAACGTAATCCACGGTATCAGATATTGTCATTTGCCTTTTCTAAAATGTTTCAAGGGTTTAAATTTAACTTTACAGCCTCTTGTCGTATCACAGAAATAAGTTCCTGGTTTATTAAAAATATGAATCTCAATCCTGCAACCTGTGAAAAAAAAACTATATATAAAAATTGTAATTAAGAAATTAGATATAATTTTAATCGGAGGAAAAAGTTCTCTCATTTGAGAATAAAACTACAAATTAATTTCACTGTATCTCTTTAAAATTGTAATAATTACTTCTAGTATGCTATTGTTATTTAATTTTATCTTATTGCCAGCCAGAATTGGTCTGCTATCCACAAAAATCGGCCGTTTCCCTTCGGACGACAGGAAGAAGTCTCCATTGTTCCTTAAACGAATAGTGCCTTGTCGACGTGAAACTTTCCAGGCTGGACCTTCTAAAGTAAGATCTACATCAACAGTATGGTCCTTAGTAGTACGTCCTACGGTTATCTGAACAAACATACGGAAGATGTACGAAATGTTAATCTTTTGAAATATACGACAAGTTATATCTTATATAAATACATCTCAATTACAGAAAAATCTCACTACAGTTCTTACCTCTCTAGATCTCATGAGATATCTGACAAGTCTTCCTCTTAGAATGGCTAAGGTTTGGTTATCGAAATCTGCTGGATTGTTATTTGTTACACTATCGACCAATACCTGCCATCGGCCGAGCTCGTTTTCTAATACTTTAATTTCTCGCTTATTCTTTCTGTCTGCCATTGCTAATTCAGCATCCACCAGTTCATCCTTAGGTTCTATTAATTCCGCGTCGTTAATCATATCTTCAGCATCCGAAAAGTTCAATACATGTTCACCACGTGGTAAGCTTTGTACTGTTTGATCTGGTAATAGGTGATACTGTCTCATTAATTGCCAATGGCTGTGTAACGCCTTTGCAGTCCTAGCTGGATAAAATGCATGTGCATTTGCTTCAAGTAATTCTTGAAACGCTTCCAGTGTTGGTTGAGAAGTCTGATCAAGGTATAAAATTCATACAATAAGATAATAGCGAAGACTAGATCATTAACTGATAACAGACTTTTTGATGAAATTTCTCACAATCAACAGATTCTGCAGTACTTACTGATTTAATAGTACCCAAGAGATCTTCCTCTGCCTTGCTATACAATGTCCTTGCCTGCACACTGGCTATCAATTCCGGATGTAAGTTACGCATAGCTTGTACAGCCACACGTGAAATAGCACTGTCATATAATAAAGCATACCATCTCTGTTGTATCTCTTGTAATGTAAAGCGGCAGGAAAATTTTGTACCTCGATGAACCTTAAGCAGAAATGACAGAACAATGAATAAATTAATATGATTGCTGATATATATATATAAATATAAATATATATATATATATATCAGTAAAAGTATTGACACTATATACTATATAATAATTAAAAAGTCAGTGTACAAACTAATTAGACAAATACCATTCTTAAATCATTTGTTTGTTGTACACCAGTGATCAATGCTAAGTCATCAGTAGGTTTCCATCGTCCAAGATCTTTAGTAGCATTGATGGAATGAGCATGATTTTTGTTCTTCTTGTTTTTGCGTCCAGGACCATTTGAGCCACTGGGTCTAGTGGGTCTGCGATTGCATCTATCTGACTGTATTAAGGTGGTTGGTATTGGTATTGGACTAGGTAATGTTTGTGATGGCAAGACATCCATAGAACCGGCAGATACAGATATTGTTCGAGATCTCGATGTTGACTTGGTACTTGTTGCAGGTGGTTGTAAGTTAAACGTTGTCTCCACCAGCTCATCATCAAACTTTCTGCGTTTTATTGTCCGTGACGAGCTTTCAATAAAAAAAAGGAAAAAGGGATATATATTTAGCACAGCAGAATGATCTGCTTATTGGTTGAATACATAAAGAAGCGTAATTTTTGTATAATATATAAATTGTTTGATATCTACCTTCTTCGTTTAGTTGACAAAACATCCAGAGCAGAAGATTCGATAGGAATGCCTAAGAATCCATCCGTACTGTGAGCAAGTCCACTGTGATTCACTCCGGTTGGAGCGGATATATCCATTGTTACGTAAAACGAATACAGAGATTGTCAAACCATAATACACGTCAAGCACTTTTAATAACAACTCATATGCGGGCGAGTCGTGATCACTTCAATGCAGTGTGCTCGTAATTTCACGTAATTATTTCTCCGAATCGAAACATCAACACCAACTACGACAGTTGAGTTTAGTTTAGATAAAATGCATCATAGATAATATAATCAAAATGCGTGTACAAAGATGGGCATAGGCCAGTATCCGACCGACGAGGTAAAATAAAGACTGACAGCTCTGGGTAAATTTTCGTATCAATCAAGAGGCCCGGAGGTAATTGAAGAGCAATGGTAATACCGATTGCTTTAGCTACGCTCATGATAATACAGCTGCTCGTATAATTCTGTAATTAATAACTGCATACGATGGATGTATGTACTAAGCTTTAAGCCGTAAGAAACTAACGAACCATACCCGATTATTCTTTTCATATTCGACTGTGGTTTTCTTACGACCTAAAGCTTATTACATATTCAGCCTTAATATACGGCGACTGCGTGCGTGTCCCCACGATGCGCACAAATCGCACACATTCTAGGAACCCTAGACAATAGATTCGTTCTTTATAACTAAATTACACTATCTGCACTACTTGCCTTTCACTTTTCTTTACGACAAGTCTCAATTGTATACCAGTTCCTTTTTCAATTTTTAAAGTGTACATTAGTTCAGAAAAGAACAGGCTTATAGAGTCGTTGGAAGAACAGAAGAAGCTATTGAACAAGATGTTCTTTTTAGCTGCACTGTTGAACTAGTGCAACAAGCTGGAATGAGAAAAAATATAACTGTCTCACTCTAGCTTTTGCACCAGTTTAGCAGAGCAGCTAAAAAGAACAGACCAGAAGAAATCGTTTTGCAATTGTTTCCGATTGGTCGCCACGCATGCGCAGGCAAGCGCTTGTGCGAATGCTGAAACAACGCTAGCACGTTTCCTTCGTACAGTATGACTCGCTTCGTTTCAGTCGTATTTGGTGTGTCCACGTTTAATCGGCAGCCTGCCAGTGTATCCAGAAGACCGACGTTCGATAAATAATTGCCAGTAGCCATGGATGAGGAATGGGGTACGCGCTAGCGCTAACGTTTTAATTAGCAGCACATAATTTCATCCCATGTTCGCGAAATGAGTGATTCGTTCATGCGAGCCTAATTTTAACCTCCTCCTTTGTTCCTTTGCAGATGTAGATAATGTCGAAGCGAAATTTGATCTCGCCATGAGATCAAACAAGTGGGAAGGTGAAGACGAGGAGGAGGAAGTTAAGGTAGGATCATGACATTCATGTACATCTCGCGCAACGATTGACCCACTCGCGAATCCGCGTGCGATTTTGTACTTAACCTACAACAAACACATGTTCCATACTGTGACATTGCGTACATACGCGTGACATAAATAATTTATTTACCATTTGCATGTACCCCGTATCTTGATTCGTACTTTCTACTAGAATAATATATTACACATGATGCTTCATAAGTTTATAATTGTGAGATGATAAATAATGAATCCTATAGAGATATGTATGACACATCATATATATATATATATATAGTGTGATCAGATGTCTGTTACCATTTGGAATTTTTTAGAATTTTAGTACAATTTATAGGAAAGAATTTTGAACGCAGTAGCTATAAAAATAACTGTAAAAAAATCATGTATATATCTTTCAAATTAATAATTGACTTTTAGGGATAACATATGTGTATGTGTGTGTTACACATGGCAGCAAAGAAATCTCAATATTTTTACTTGCAACATTATTCAATAGAAAAATTTTAATTATTGGACAGACTTTTCTGACATATGTATATATGCATACATACACATACACACATGGGTAATAAACCTTAGAGAAAGTGGAGTTTTTCCATGACTAACTTTACATATGCTCAGCAATAGAGAACAATAAAATATGGTAATTAGAATATGCAACATATAAATATTTTTTTATAAGTTGCAATATATATGTTTGAAAACTTGTTATTTTACATTCATTATATTTATAAATTTAATATACTGTATTAAAATTTTATGTTTAGACATACATATATATGTGCATATACATGTATATGTCTGTGTTCTTCTGTATATGTGCTTCAAATCTTGCCTAGCATACATACACATACATACGCAAAGAGATGCTAAAGGGATCTGTACTTCTACATAGTGCATCTTGAGTAAATGATGCTAAAGCAGCAAGTTTTATTTGACTTTAACTATATTATAAACCTCATAAAATTAATTATATTATAGAATTCATTTAATTATGTTATAAAAACCATCTCTTCTTTCAATTTTGATGAAAAAACTCAAAAGTAAAGCGATTTGAAATTCCAACATAAAAATGACGACGACTCGAAAACAATACATTTTCAGACCTATGTTTGTATCAACTTCTTGTTTTTTGGATCTTCAATCATCTCCTGAATGATTGATCTCTATTTTCGAAACATCCTGTGTATATAAATATACACACCACATACATGTACAAATATTGATAATTTATATTGTATATACTGATATTGAAGTGCAGGTAAAGTTAAAATTTTATTTCTTTTACTTATATGTATTAAATAACCTAACAGGATAGCTGGGAAGATGTTGAAGAGGAGAAGAAAGATATAGAGAAACCAGCAGATGTACCAAAAGCAAAGCCAAAACCTAAAAAGGCATTGGCTGAAAGAATTGAGGAGCGTGAGGTTTGTTTTGTTTCTTTTCAACTACAATATTATATAAAGTATTTGTGCGATTTGTAAAAACTATTGGAATTCTAGAAAAAGGCAAGAGAAGAAGCAGAGCAGAAAGCAAAAGAGAAGGAAGAGGCTCTTACACCGGAAGAGAGGCGAGCTGAGGTGTTAAGGCGCCAGAGGTTGCAAGAAGAGGCAGATTTACGACTGGCGATGGAAACTTTCGGTTTGTCGAATTTAGTAGACTTTAGTCCCCGTAAACCACATAAAACAGATAAGAAATGATTTATCTTGAGAATGATCTAATTATTTTCTTTCTTTTCGGTCTGACAATTTTTAAATTTATTTTTATACATTTTTTACGGACGGTTAAATAATTTTTTTCATAATATATGCACTTCAGTGAAAATCTGAAATTAATAGAGATGCCTTTTGGAGAAGTATGTATATGTCTCTTGATTGCTTTACTATAGGTGTATAATATCAATGTGACATAATTTTGCAATCATGATGCAGTGCTTGCATGAAGGATGTACAAGTATCTTTACTTTGTAGCACTGATAATCAGCTATACTATAATTATCATTTTTATACAAGATAAACAAAGAGGAATTAACAAATATTAATAGAACTATTTGTGCTGTAGCACGAAACAAATTGTTATAATTGTAGCCTTGTAAAATTTAATGATTTCTTCGTGTCAGGAACTGTATTAGACAGGAAGAGAGAAAGAGAAAAAGAGAGAGAGAGAGAGAGAGAGAGAGAGAGAGAGAGAGAGAGAGAGAGAGAGAGAGAGAGAGAGAGAAAGGAAAAGAGAATATATACACAAGCACTTAAATTTATTACAAGTTCTACATTTAAATTTATTATTGATGTTGTTGTACTTTAATAAAAGTTGCTATTCTACGCAAATTGTTGTGTTCACATGAGTTTTTGTAACCTTATCTCTCATCTACTATCTGTCTCCTGTACTGTTTCTGATGTATATAAATTTTATATAATATACAATATAATAATAATAATGATACAAAATTCGTTGAATATATAAATCTTTCTTTAGAAATGTCGCATTGCTACGATACGTAGCGTAGTTAGCAAGCGCCTGGCAGTTTGTTCCATTAATTTCTTCTTTAATTTCATATAGCATTTTAATAGATTTCGTAACGTGCTCCTGATAAGTTCGTCGTCAGGGTAATTAAAGTAATAGATTATGAAAAATATTACCTCATTTCTTATATTTTGTGCAAAAATTTGAACTTTTAACACGGTTTAATACAGTAATATGTTCTATTGACACAGTTGTCTGATAACTATATAGTCTTTTACATTGCAGGTACAGGAGAAGAGTTAGGTGATTCAATCGATGCCATGGCACCCGACACAAAAGAGGAATTCGATCAATTTGGTGCTGTTCTTTCACAAAAAATTAATCAATTTAGCAAACACGCAGACTTCCCATACTTTGCAGAGGAGCTTATAAAGTCCATTGCTCTCAATTGTTAGTACATTTGTTTCAATGGGTGATATTTAAATGAAAATTGACATCAATTTTTATCGATACAATGAGAAACGTCTTTCTTTTCTACATTTAGTCGTATTTTTTGTTCCAGTATCTTCAAATTGTTTAAAGAAAGTGAAAACTACAATTGACAACTTGCTCATTGAAAAGCAAAAAATGGAGAAATCGGACAAAGCAAAGAAAAGCAAGGGAAAAGGAAAGGCTAAGCTCAAAATTGAGGGAGAAAATAATTTATTAAGCGAGTATGGTGATTATGTATATGACGAATTTAACGATTTTATGTAGCGACTTTTCATATGTTCAATATTCTAGTCGCCTAAGATACTTGCAGGAGAAAATTGATTTGCAAATTTATACAAAGATTTTATATTTGCAAAATGTACACACACACAACAGTTTATCTATACTCCATGATATCGTTTACGTGACGTAACGAGTTGAAAATAGGAATGAAAACTAGTAAGAAAAATAATACCGATGAACATGGTTAGAAAACACACTTTTTAACAATTATACGATAATGTAGCACTCGGATGTTTTCTGCAGTTTTCCCAGAACAGTTGGACATTAAATAATTTACCTGTTGAGTTTGGTCAGATTTTTATCTATATGTCTGTCATCATTAAACTCTGTCTGATATTAAAACTTCTGTTTCCTTGTTTTGTAGTCACCGCTGATTGAAGCAAAAAGATGTATGCCTAAAATTCCTGTGAAACAATTATTAACAGAGGCAGCAATTATTAACTGACTAATGAGACAATTAATCAGAATAATAAATCAGTTGATTTTTACGAGGAATTTTATGGCTATTGATTATTATTATTATTATTATTATTATTATTTTGAGTATTCCGATCTGCTCCTGACGTTATCGATCTGAAACTACAGCAAGGAGCCAGAAGCTTTAAAATCAATGACAATTTTAATAAAATTTAAGAGCATATAGTGGAAAATATGTTCTGAGTGATGTTCGTGCGATTCTCCGATTTATCAGCAGAAGATTGTATTAAGAGTAGCAGGGGATGAAAAGTATTACATTACATTTGATTTACAATCCCAAGCTGTTAAAAAACTTACATGTGTCTTTATATAAGCGTCATTGCAGATTAAATCGTGTAATTACATTATGGAAGTTTTATATAACACAGCTTATATACATACAGCTTATATACTTTTACCGAAAATTGGTTACAAGTTGGTTTTGCAAAGAGTATATTCCTAAATAAAGGTTGATTATAAATTACTCTTGCAATTAATTAATCTTGCAATCCTGTTCATAGCTAACATAGCCAGACGTAAAAAGGAATGGCAAATAAGAGCCTTACCGTAGTTATCAGCGTGCAATCATTATGTATTGTAGTCAACAATTAATTCTTAATTAAAACTCAACAATAACGAGACAGAATAGAAGCCTCAATAAGTCAATAGGCAATTTTCTTCAATGATCGTTTAATTTCAGACGATTGAAAATGATGTCAATTGTAAAGGTGAATGTCACAGGCATGTGTGAGAGAAGAGACACTTGTACAGATTCTGTGTCGCGTAATTTCGTGCACGGCCTTTCAATGAAACATAGTCGGATATTGATCTGATGCTAATTATGAAGTGAACTCGACAACAGATTTTATGGGCTGGTTGTTATATTGAGATATTTTTGAATTCTAGTCTTTAAGTCTTGTCCACAATGTGTGCTATAATTCGCATTCTGTTTCTTTCTCTTTATCTCTTTTTGACTTGAACCTTGTATCTCAAGTCAGAAAAGATAAACGATAGGAAACGGGAAATAGAGAGCATATTGTAGATCAGACTGTAATTGACATCTGTTCCACATAGAAGACATGAGAATTTTTACGAGACCATTTATACATGTTATATATCTTTGGAATGTCAAGAAATTTTTTTTTTATGCGCACTGATGATTCCTTTAAGACTGTCGACACTTTCAAAAAGAAAATTGGATAGTTTTATCTGACAGAATCTATCCAATATTGTTGAAAACCGTATTTGTAAATCAAACAATTATTAAGTTATAATTGCAAGTCTAATGTTCTCTTCGTATCTAGAGTGTGACAATAGGAATGTTTGGTCTGTCAGATTTGTAATCTAATTTTTTATCTTTAAATAGTGCGATTCAACGACATATCAGAATTTTTCTTTTTTTGTAGCGCAACCGATCGGCGGGTCAAATAGATTTTTGTACACGCTATTATAAATATGTAAATACGTACAATTTTTGAAATATTAATAAGAATAATGCAAAAGTTACAAGAAAATGCTAACCATTTTGATTCACTTTGTGCCCCTCTAAACACCTCAGAAAAATATTATGGACAAGAAATATGGCCATGCTTTTTTATAATAATAAATAATAATATAATAATAAATTTTGCTTATAAATGTTCTCTCTTTCTCTATCTCTCTCTCTCTCCTCCTCTTTCTTCAAAGCAGGAATGAGGTTCCAAAGGAAAGAAATAAATAGTCAACAAATTTAAAAGATTCTTGCCCCCCTTGGAATATATTTTCTATATTAATTATTCTTTCTAACAACAACAAAACATTTTGTTTGTCATTAATTATAATATTATTTGTCTCTTATACTCTCTTATATTCTTTTTCACTTTCTCTCTCTCTCTCTCTCTCTCTCTCTCTCTCTCTCTCTCTCTCTCTCACACTCTTTCTTTCTCGCATTCATAAATATGAAAAAACATGCACTCTGAAATCGCAAAGCGAAGAAGGAGTTATCTGTACATCGTTAATTGTGAAAAGGCTTCTTCAAATATATTCACCCGCACGTATTTTCGTTGTTATCTCTTTCTAAGATAAGTATTGTAATTGCTATTCATTCATGTGTAACATAATAAACAGCTCGTTCGTCGAATGAAACGTTCGCAAGGACGAGTCTTCCTTCCTGAGTACTCCACATCTACTATGAGATAAATTTTTAAACAAATTTTTGAAAAACCTGAAATAAGGAATCCTCGAAAATGTTTCTGGGTGTGAGAGCCGTCTTGAGAAAATTCAAGTTATCATCACGACGAATATGTGTGTGTGTGTGTGTGTGTGTGTGTGTGTGTGTGTGTGTGTGTGTGTGTGTGTGTGTGTGTGTGTGTGTGTGTGTCAATCCAAGATTAATCTATTGACAGTCCTTAATATTGTCTGTCAAGTGTCTGCGAAACGCGGTATAACTTTCAAGCCACAGCTATTTGGGAAACAGTAATTTTATTATGTATATATATATATACATAATATATATATACATGTATATAATGTATATATACATAATATATACATAATATATATATATATATATATATAATTAGAGAGATATATATACATATATATAATATATATAATTATATATATATATAATTATAAAAAGCATTACTATTTCCGGATATGATTTTGTTCCCCACATCACATTGTGTTCAAACTATCTGTCAAGCTAAATTGTTCGACTTATCGTACGACAGATTGCTAATTGTTTAAGGCACAACATGCTTCTCGACGTGGGAGACTGAAACAATTCGTACGTCGATCGAACAAGACGCCTTCTATAGCAAATTGTTATGTCGCGAGACATATTTTGGTTTTGATTAATATATTGAGCATATATGAATATGTATGTGTGTGTATATATATATATATATACATATATATATACATATATATATATATATATGTATATATGTTTATATTGTTTTTTATATACTATATTATATCTCGTTCGGTTTGAGCTATCCTTAACAACTAACGCGAGCCCGAACGAGTCATCGTCACCTTGGCTCTATCCTCTCGAATGATTGCATTATCCTTACACGGAGAGTTGCATAACACGAGTGCTACAAGATTAATCCTTTGGCTGCGAAGGGCGCAATAATCAAATATATACGCCAACACAAAAGTGTGGTGATCCCAAATCACGGAAAACGTCCTGAGATCGAACGTTCTGGACGATCTCAGGATCTCAGGACGCCGGGAGACACGTCATGAGACACTCCCCAGAACATCCCGGGAGCACATGCGGGATGATTCTGCGGCGTCTTGCGTTATCTGGAATCTGCGACAGTAGAGGGATGGATCAGCATGTATTGGGGTCGATTTATGATTATGATCCAAGGATCTAAGAATTCACGTTAACGCTCGGGATCGGATAATTTAAATTCAAGGTTGCCGCAAGAATCAATCAATCAATCCGGGTGATTGAAAACTTGTAACTCTTCGGGCCAATCTCGTTGTCTTCGATTGACTCAACTGGCCACCCGTCAAGCGCCAACCGTGATCGGCCAATTCTGCTCAGCGACAAATGCGATTGGCCAATTCCGAGATGGCACAATCGGCCGATTAAGTTAATCGCGTGGTGTGTCCCCTATTTTCACCGTATACCTAGCGCTACGTGCGTCTACCTAATCTCCAGTTTGCGCTCGTTCCGTTTGCATCAGGTGAAGAAAACTCAAGATCGAATAGCTACAGTCAGTGTGCTACAGGGTTCTAATATTACGTATACCTACGTATATACGGTAACAATATGGACGTGCGTGAATTTACGCTGCTAAAGATCCAAGGATCGATAAGTCTCGAGATACTTAAGGCTTGACAGATCTGTCCTCTTCCGACTACGAGCTACGATGACAGAGCGCTTCGCACATTCCCTAAATTTCTTTGGAGAGAATGCCGTCACCGTTTTGGTGTATCGCGCGGCTGCCTGATCGGCAGACGCCACTCTTGGGACACCCTATCGCGACTGCTCGAGAAATGTCCAGGATAACGTCGGGGTATCGCAAGATACCACCTGCAGGACCTAGGCATCACCCACCAACTTTAACACCCGCTATTCTACCTCGTAGTAAGCATTATTGTATAAAAAGTCTTCAGGATCACATCATTGAACTCCTCGGCTCGGAGAATTCAGGACCCCGAGACGCGTGACTCGATTATCCCAGCTCAAGGATAAACACGGCCTCTTCTACAGCTGAGACACTCCCTCGCTTCTTTGCGACTTTCTCTTCTTCCGACTTGGTGTTGGACTTCCCAAATCGTCGTACAGCCTGTGCAGCAACGACCGTCTCCGATTACCCGACCAGACCAGAATGTCTCAGCTGGGTGTCCTCGCCGTGGTCCCGCTTCAGGGGGTTGAATTCGACCGGCGGGGGACTTTCCGTTCGTCATTCTCTCGTCGCGTCGCTGTCCCTCTTCCGTCCCTTTTTACGCTATCGCGCGAAGCTCTGCCTCGCGGTCTCTCCCTAAGGGTACCGGGGGTCCGTCGGGTAGCGCGTCGACGCGGGATGCTGCAGGTTGTGGTAGGATCTGCTGCGTTTGTAGTCCCGCGGCAATTGACTCGGCTGACGGTACAAGACGTAAGGCTCCAGGTGAGGCGCCAGTCGCGTATTACCATTTTCACCGGAGGACGGCCGGGGGTTATCCGCCACGGCGCCGGGGTAGTCTGGCGCCGGGTGGGGCGGCTGGCTGGTCGCCGCTGGCTGAAATTGCGACAAGCCGTAGAGGACGCCGATCGATCTCCTCCACATCTCGTGGCGCGCCTGACTCGGCGGCGGCTGCTCCTGCTGCTCTTGCTGCTTGCACTGGCGCCTCCTGCTCTGCGAGGAGCCGCTCTCGGTCGAGTTGCTGTCCTCGCTGGTGCCAAGGCCCGGGTCCCGCTCCTCGAAGGCCGCCATGCTAGTCGCCGGGCTGTCCTGGAGCGGCTTGACCGCGCCCGCGGTGTAATAGACTAGATGAGGATGCGGGATCACGAAGGGCTGCTGGAACTTGCCCGTCGGCTCCTTCTCCGGCGCGGAGTTTGCGTTCTCCGTGTCGTCGGGCTCGTCCGAGTGACTGATGCAGGTACCGGGCCCGAAGATGGACAACAACACCGGCAACAGGAATATACCGTGCATCGCGCCGATGAAGATCACCAGGAAGACCATCTTGAAGAACACGAGGAAGATGTAGGTGCCAGCCAAGAGGAGCGCCACCAGGCCGAGTATCGTCGAGGCGGCGCCTTGGACGATCGGCAGGCCGAGGCTGTAGAGGCTGTCCTTCATCCGGTCCTCCGGCCGTGCCCGCTTCGAGCTCATGTAGGCGTAGCAAATGTGCGCGGTGAAGTCGACGCTGAAGCCGATGCACATGATCAGGTTGATCATGGAGATGCTGTCGAGATTGACGTCCCAGAGTGCCATGTAGCCGCCGACGCCCAACTCGATCGACACGATGCAGAAGGCGACCCATAGGCAGCACAGGATATTGGGGATGAAGATGAAGCTGATGAACATCATGACGAGCGCGCCGAAGATCATGCACTGGATGCTGGTGGGCCGCACCAGCTCGAACTGGTCGAAGAAGACGAAGTACGGGTGGAACACGCTGGCGTTCAGCGGCGACTCGTCGCAGATGCCGCGCAATTCCTTCACCATGTCCTTCTCCTGGTTGGTGCCGCTCACATTCACCGCCTGGATGAGGAATCGGCTCGCCACGATCTTCTCCCTCTTATCGTCGAGCTTCACGTCGAGCGAGTACACGCTGCTCTCATACAGCCAGTAGTCCTTCAGGACCTCGATGAAGTCGTGCTCGTTGTCGATGCTGACGTTCAGGCTGTCCTCTTGGCTCGACATGTACTTGAGGAAATTGCGCAGCCAGCTCTCCGTGTAGATCGGCTCGCTGATGTACTTGCTCGACTCCAGGCTCCTCGTCAGGTTCTCCATCTGGGCCTGGATCACCGGGTCGCTGTAGTTGTAATCGCCGGTCACCACCACCTAGAACATGGCGAAGCCGCGGTTCGGTGAGACAGGGGACAGGCTGTTCGAGGCTGAGGGTGCCAGAAACGTGAGAGAGATGAAGATGAGTTTCGGAGGAGAAATATTGCTCTTTGCGGTCATGCCGAGTCGCATGGCCTACACTTGAAACGAAAGTAATTATGATCTTACTTTATACAGGGCGTTCAACGAAGAAGAGTTTCACATTTTCAGCTTAAATAGGACTCATTATGCCGAATAAAAGATGCGTGGTAAAGTTAGGTCGAAAGATCAACCCTTTCAGAGTTACAAACGTTTTCGGACGTTTGCTTTTCACTCAGTACAATGAGTATTATCTGTCCTGTGAGAAAACTTTTCTTGGGACACCCTGTATATCCGACTCTCGGTGGAGGAGAAGAGATTACGGAGTGATTGCGGAAACGGATTTTGCGCGGTGAAACTTGTTGCTGTAAATCGAATCTGCTGTTAATAATGCCGGCTGCCGCTAACATCTCACTCGTCGGCCAGCGCATCTACAGGGTGTACCTGAAAACTAGCAGGGCGGGAAAGTGAATAAGAGAATCGTAGCGAGGACGAAAGCTCGGCTTTTCGGAAAGTGACAACAACGGAGGAGAATGTGTCGCGATGTGACGCGTTAATAATTCTGCGACGCGACTCTTTTTTACTTGTTTTTGAAAGCAACAACGATAATTCCCGAATATATAATCGAAGAGTCATCCATCGTGACGTAGAACGGGTCGCATGTGTTACCGTTTGTCGCGAGTGAAATAAGAGAAACGAGGTGCCACAGACGAGTGGCAGAGATTTTGAACAATTTTTACGACAGTTTGGGTCCGGTTACTTGCGCGACTGTAAAACGCGACTTAACGAGAGAATGAAATATATTCTTCTAAAGTTAATTAATCTCGCGGCAGTTGTTACGTGTACTTGGAAAGTGTCCGAGGACATATCTTTATTAAGACTGTTCTACTCATATTTTTCTTTACATAGGATCTATCCTGCGATGTTGCCGACGGAATTCAGATATAATGCACCTGCACGTCGGAAAATGCGTCTAGCGACCAGACACGAAGGCACACACATTCTGAAGCCTGTTTTATCACCAAAAGTGATACTTACAACCAATCAGGAGGCTTATAAGCCACTTTTATAGTCTCGATTAAAGAGAGTTCAGGATGTATGAGTATCGTCCTGTGTGTAGAGCCCTTAAACAGTGGACACAAGTAGCGCAAAGTCCATGTAAGCGACTGTCGTCGCAACTTCTCCTTTCACGGCAGTCGCAACTGCAATTATAAGGTCAGCGACACGAAGCGACACCGAGAGTGCCCGCGGGGAAGGAGGCTCGGCGGCAGCTTTTCGGCGGTTTCCGCAATGCCCTTGTGAAAGTGACCTCGTGAAAGCGGAGGTCCGGTCCGCCACGTCGGGAGACGCTACATCGCGTTTCGTCACGATGACGCAATTCGTGCGCTCTCGGAACGCACGAATTGACGCGCGCGAGGGGGGCCGGGCCTGATTGAGCGCCGGGGCCCGGAGATCGGAAGATGCGGGGGCCCGTTTCCGTCTCTGCGACGCGAGCGACGCGAGGTTTCCGCGAAGTCACCGGGACCCGGCGTCGGCGTTATTAATATCGCGCGAGGGAACGCGATAGCGCGAGACCATCTTTGAGAAACGTACTTTCACTACAATGTGTCGGGGGTGGGGGGTGGGGGAGGGGGGCTACGACGCAACGTGTCCGGGGAAAAAGATCCCAGTGAAATTCAGTTCGGCCGCTCTTTATGGGCTCTTGCCGGACTCGGCTTCGTCGAGAGAGATTTCAACGCCGCGCCGCGCGACGAAAGAAACGCGCCCCGTCTCTCTGCCGGATGGTGCGGCCGCGTGACCGTGCGCGCGCGCGCGTTGCGAAATGCGCAATTATCTCATTGAAATGAAATATCGAGATACCGGACGCCGCGCCGTTTCGCCGAAACGGCCCGGCAGATTTTCCGCGGCGCGGCGGATCCTGCGCGAGCAGCGTCCTGCCGGGTGAAATGCCATTTTTGTCAGCGCGTGCTTTTGCGCGCGACGCGTGAAAGTACCTCTTCGTGTGCGCCTACGGCGTTCCCCACCGCGCGCCGGCAGGACTAACGCATTCGCCGTTCAACCTGGGAAACAATCCGTCGACGGGCACGGATATATTCTTGGATATATGGACTCCTTGTTTCTTTTCTTTTATTGTTTAATACTGCGAGAATAATGTCTCGATTGATTTATGCGAACGGCGAAGAAAATCGGCGCGTCGCACGCGTTAACGCGAAAAATCACACGCTCGATCGCAGCTCGAAGTTTGTAGACGATGGCGATACCTTCTTGCGGCGCCGCGCGAGAACGCTTGTAACATGTCGAGCAGAATAGAAACGAAAACATGTTCGCGGGCGAGAGTGTGTAAATATTGAAAGTGAAATTGTCTCAATTGAGCCGGAGCAAGCAGGAGCGAGGGTATTTATACGCGGAGCCGCGGGAATCTCTCCGTTTAGATGGTCTTTCTTGCCTTGATCGATCGGCTGCGGAGGAGCGTGATGTAACGAACGCTGCTTTTCTTCAGGTCCGAGCTAGCCAGTCGGAGAAAGTTGTTCGCACGATATCGCGTCGTATCGAGGCGAACACGTGACATAATTGCGCGTACTGGATTATGCGTGGCAGTTTCGAGCGTAACGTACTCGGAACGTTCTTCCGACTCTGCTGTATATTTCTTTTCTCTTTTGCGTCGGCTATCGGAAGTGTTTCCCGCGCGTGCGGAAAGCGAAACCCTGAAAATACGCCGCCACGCGCGCCGCGCCGGCCCGATAACGGATCTCGAGGCGAATTTCAAGGTCTACAAAGTAGACGGGATGTCAGGATCGCGCGATCGCAAAGAGACACAAAAGCTTTGTTCAATTGACATTGGCAGCAGAGAAAACTCTATTTTGCGACTGTTGTAAAATTGACGAATCTGATTGGTGCGCGTGCTCTTGGATTTCGTCAAATTGAAGAACACACGCCAGTGAGGTTCACGAGTTTGTAACAACAGTTGCAAAGTAGCTTCTTCTGCTGAACGCATCCACTGATTTCGCGCTGCTTTTCCGCTGCGGCTTTCTCGCGTCCCTCTCAAACAGTCAAAATTTATTACATACAATGGAAGGACGACGGCCCGGATGCGATAATAACGCGATGGGAAAGAAAGTTTGCTAATGCGGCGCATCGGCCCGCAAGTTTCGCAGGTTTTTACTCCAAGTTTGCAACTTACTTGTATTCTGTAGGGAAACTCCCTGAAGTAAATGTCTTGACGGTCGTAGAAGGCGATCGAGTAGGAATCCTCTTTCGAAAGTTTGCGTCGTTCCAGACCTTCTTGGAGGGTCGTAAGCCCGTAAAGGGCGCCGAGAAGGTAGCATATGAAGATGACGATGATGAACGCCTTCACGGCTCGGTAGTTGAGCGCAACCGCCAAGTAATCGCGGAACCAAGTCATGCATCCGTGTTCGGGATTGTCGATCGGATTGTGAGGATCGTCAGGATCAATTCCGCCGGAGCACAGCACTCGGTACAACCACGACCGGTGAGCTGAAATGCATGTGCAATGTTGTTAAAGACACGGCGAATGATACGGTTAATACATATGTTTCGGATAGCCGCGCGAGAAACCAGAAGGTTTTTCCTCCTCTTAATGGAATCATGTTTTCCTCTAGACACGTACCTTCTCTTTTTTTTTTTACCAATCCGCATATGGAAGTATTAAAGTAAGGTAAACCGGCGAGTGAATGCCTCGCTATAGGTGTTTTAAAATTTACCTTGACATGAAAACTCGCTAGTACAATTGATATAAACACTTTCGTCAAGCTTTTACCTTATGTTGAGATCTAATATGTCGATACTTTTATGTACGTATGGAGTGATTTATTTATACAGAGTGTCTGCGTTCTTTTGGAAACGAAAAATTGTGAAGATTAATCGGATCAAATTGAGAAGAAAGCGTATCATTTTGCAAAAATCGCAATAGTTATTAAGTTATTGATGAAAATGGCCATATCTAGAGGCTCTTTTAATTGATAACTTGAAAATTTGCGTACTTGTTTGCAAATTGGTAAAGGACTCTTTTGCTGACGGCTATTGTGATTGTATATCTAGTGATAGATACGAGTACATTGAACTTTGAAACCTGAATCTTGAACCTGTCGCTGGGCACAATAGCCGTCATATATAGATTAGGTCATTCTGAATAAAAGAGTCATTTACCATTTTGGAAGTACATAAATTTTCAAATTATCAACTTTCAATCAATCGTTAATAACTTAATAACTATTGCGATTTTTGCAAAATGGTGCGTGACTCTTCTGCTCAGTTTGGTCTGATTAATCTTCATAATTTTTCGTTTCCCAAAGACCCCGGACACCCTGTATATTACCGCATTCCCTTCGCACAGGAAATTCTCGTTGGTTGTTACAAGATATGTTACTGCGTAATACCATTAGTGTAACATGTTATGCCAAGAATAAAGTTAAATTAAAATACGTTATACTCGTTTCTTTCCTTGTTTTTGCTTTATATCATAGTGAAAGTTTTCCCATCTTCTCTTTTGTGCTTTGTGTAATCGCCAAAGCATCGATACTGAAAAAAATTAAATAAAGAGAAAGTAAGCTCTCTTTCCGTTACATAATAGGATGTGATTTAACGAATTAGCGATATCCAAACGTAACGTGTGTCAGGGTATTGACGTAACTCGCGGTACGTCATGCCGCCCGACGTAACAAGTTTTCGAGTGCTGGTCTCTCTCTCTTGGAGATGCTGTCGATACAAGACCGAAAACAGCGATACTCAACAACAAGTCCGCAAGTTTATAAAATATTAATATTAGTACGATGTGCGATCGCGAATCATATTGTGTGTGTGTGTGTGTGTGTGTGTGTGTGTGTGTGAACAGCGAGATAAAACAATTGCGGTACTCACTGGATTTAGATAGAGGCTCCACCTTGCAGCAGACGACGCTGTGCAGATTCTTCCGTTCGCAGTAACCGCTGATTGCGACGCACCCGCTGAAGAACGTTATGTGAAACAGAAACGTGAAGACTACCGCGAAACCTGTCGTTCAACACACAAGTCTGACATTAAAAATATGCATCACACACGTGATTACGTGATACTCGCCGTAAGATCAAAGACGGGAAATCGAATCACTCGAAGTTATTGCGACTTCTCGTTATCCCTTGAAGAGATACAAAGATGGCGCGAGAGAATTTTGAACTACTCTGCATCAGTAATGTGGACATTCCGATGTAATTTTTACCTGAGTAGATGCAGAAAATTTTGACCGAAGGGAAGGGCGACATGATGCCGATGAAGAAGGATATCATGTCCGTCAAGGATGTGATGGTGATGGAAACGGCTGCCTCGCTCAACGTCGCCGCCATCCTTTCCGGTACCGGCTTGCTGATGCTCGTTCTCCTCCAGGCCGCCAGCATGACGAAAGTGTCGTCAATGCCTATTCCTGTCGATCGGAAAACATAACTTGTACATTGTCACGCCTGGACATGCGCTTTTGTACGCGCAATTTGGCAAAGATAATTTATTCCTTTGCATTGCATGTGCATCCACTCGAAGTGTACGCGTGAGGGAATTACGCGATTTCTGTCTGATTCGGATGTAGCAAGTTATGAGACTGACTTGTTGAGTCAGTCATTTTATTTTATTTTTAAACTGCAGCAACGCGCGCGGCTTTCTTAGCAGCTTCTTTATCAGTCAATTATGATTCCAGAGGAATTGCACGTTGGTTTCGCATCTGATGTATAAGTCATCGACTGTGAATAAGTCTTCCGAGAATAATAACAGTGCAGTGGAACGCATGTTATTAATAAGCGATTATTCCTTATCAGAGAGTATTTTCCGCATGGACGCCACGTCCGTGCCATTTCCGCCATGTCTCTTCTAATTTCCTAGATCGCATGAATAGTAATGGGAAACGCGTTTTTTTTTTTTAGAAAGAAGTTAAAACCGCGAGACAATGTACCTCGCATATCCATTACGAGTCTTATCGAGGCGATACGTGATCCGTTGAAAAAATGTGCCGTCTAACGTTCCTCGTCTGCATGTGATGTATCGGTTTCTCATGCTGAAAAGAGCTGAACGAATGAATTAAGTCGCGCTCAATTCTAATTCGTTCTAATTCGCCGTATTATACATTGCGAGAGCCAATTATAAATATATGCTTATCAACTGAAGTGATCTTTATTTTAGCTTAGGCGATGCCTGAAATTCTCGCCGATTGATCGTCACGGTGGAAAATTTTCCGGTAAGATTCGAAAATCGCGAGCGATCGCTAAACTGAGTCGTACAAAGCCGCCATTACCGCTAAAGACTGACTTTATATTCGGCGCATCGGGCGCAGGCGAGCGTGACGTCGAAAGAGAAAAGGAGACTTCCGCTTTTCACATAAATCATAGTTCGTTTATTTCGCTCATACGCACCTGACGGCGAGCTAACGTACTTATCGTCGTGGAAACGCGCGTTTCCACAGACGTGACAGGAGATTACGGCATCGCAAATTGCAAAAACCTGCCGAGACAAAGTCCTGCCGTTATTATTGTTGCTCAACTTTCGCGAGGAGTACCAATCTGCGTGTATCGATTGGCAAATCCTTGGATAGGCCAATGTTAAGCTGGGACTCGCGAGATATGTACACACAGGACGACGGGGGAGAATGAGAAAGTCGTAGAAAATATTCTGGAAGTTCTGTAATTACGGAGTTCCCGGCGTATATTCGGGGCAGGTCGTCGGCATTTGATTGTCCGTGTAATTGGGAGATGTTTGCGTTTGAAAATAATTTGGCTTTTCCGCTCGAAACTCGAAGGTGTATTGTGTTTCCGATGTTTCTTCCTCAAACAATACTTCATACACACGCAAGCGCGTACTCGCGCGAGCGGCGAGTGACGCTCAAGCGCAGATGTTATTGCGATAATGTTATGTACGTATATTATTATAAGAATTACATAGAGATGTATCAATGTATATACAGGGTGTCCGGGATCTTTTAGAAATGAAAAATTGTGAAGATCAATCACAGGCTGAGATCGCCAAATTGAGAAGAAAAGTCATGTATCATTTTGCAAAAGTCGCAATTGTTATTAGCTCTTTTGATCGACAACTTGAAAATTTGCAAAATGGTAAAGGACTTTTTTGTTCAGAATGACCTAAGCTATAATTATATGACGACCTACTGTGCTTAGCGACAGGTTCAAGATTCAAAGTCCAAAGTTCAATACTCATATCTATCGCTAGACGCAATGGCCGTCATATAATTGTAGATTAGGTAATTCTGAGCGAAAAAATCCTTTACCATTTTGCAAGTAAGTACGCAAATTTTCAAGCTTTTTATTTAAAGAGCCTCTAGATGTGGTAATTTTCAATCGTTAATAGCTCAATAATTATTTTTGCGATTTTAAAAAATTTTAACAAACATGACTTTTCTTCTCAGTTTGATCTGACTAATCTTCATAATTTTTCCTTTCCAAAAGATCCCGCGCGCGGACACTCGTATGTATAACTACATTATATATGCACACAAAGCGTATCTAAACTCTACCGACAAATTCACACAGAATCGATATTTCATATCGATAGAAAAAAAAGTAATCCTTCCCTGTAATAAATTGGCCAGTGATGAGATAAGTAATTTTATTACTCGTGAGTAATGAATAATAAAATTACTTATCATCACCAATTTATTACAGCTAGTAATAAATTTCTATAAGGGAAGACGCGGGGCGTCCGCGCTCCACGGTCGACTTGTAAAGCGCGAGTAAAGCGTAGAATTCACGAGTGACAGCTCGAAATCGGCGACTTACCGATCATGAGGAACGGCGCGGCGAGGTTGATGCCGATGAAATCTATCCCCAGATACATGCACAGTCCGAAGGCAGCGCCTGTCGCGATGGCGGCCGAGATGTTACCCAGCAAACCGAGCCAAGGCTTGCTGCGCACCCAATCGGTCATCATGCACGTCACGACCGAGAACAGGCCCATTATGATGAACGTGCTGGCGAAGTACGGCACGACCGTCTTCGTGTTGGCCTCCAGCTCCAGCTCGAGGGTCCTCGAGGCGAATCTCGCGGTGCTAATGTGCTTGAAGGCACCTTCGTCCTCGACCTTGCCGATGACCTCCAGAAACGCCTCTTCCCATGCGGCGCCGCTGATTTCGGGGCAGAAAGGATGACCAATCTGATTAGGATGTGGGAAATTTCCGGCTAATGGTGTCGCGATTCTATCTACGTCCGAGGCTACGTCTTGCGCGTCCAGGATTCCTTTGGCTGGCGTATTTCTTCCGATGTAATTGTACACGACAGGAAAAAGGCTGATGGCTCTCGCGCGCGCGTGTGTGTGTGACGCCGATTTTTTCTCGAGAGATCGACGTATCACGCACGATCTCTCGATATTTTAATGAAATTACAACTTTGCCCCTTTCGCTCAGGTCATAGTTATAATCTTGCACGGGCGAGACGAGTGTTCCAACAGGGACAGTCGACGTGTACTTTATTGCGACGCTTTATACCGCCTTTCATGGTAACAATAGGCGATCGGCATGACCGATGCTCATGGATGAATCAAATATTATTTTCACGGAGACCGCCGGTGCGCCAATGAACGCTCGGCGATCATGCGACGAATTAATGAGATATTGCTTTTCCATCAGTACTATACCGAGCACTGCCGACCGCAAAAGTACGTTTTGTGCAACAACGTTTTGTGTAACGCGAGGCAACTGCGTGAATGAAACGTCGAGCGAACGGAAAGTATCGGCGCTGAGTCTTGGCGAGAGCGACGTAGAAAAATGCCGTTTATCTAAAGTTATTGTTTTCGTAATCTTTAACACGACGTGCCGCTGTCGGTTATATTTAGACGAGCTCTCGGATTTCGCGGCGTATTTACGCGAGACGAAATCTTCGAAGGAGACGACAAAATTGCCCATTGGACCGTCATCTCCCCCCCCCCCCGCCCTCCGTGATCTCGACAAAAAATCCTTATCTCTCTTATCCCTGTGTCCGGAATTTCCATCGTTTCCGTATTTATAGTAAATCGCCGTGAGAGAATGCTCCTTTCAAGATCTCTGTGTGCGTGAATTATGATAAGTGAACAGTTTCGCCATCGGGCTGTGACGTGTTCGTGGACTCGATAAGCCAGACTCGACGTGCTCGGTGGACTCACATTGCGTCTTGTCGCGGACTATCGACGGTGATGAAGTAGGCGAGCTGCACCGAGGGCACCGATTTTATTAAGCCGTTATCGATGACGCTTCCGCCGAAGAACACCGGAAACACCAGGGCGTCCAACGTGACCGGATTAAGCATCAGCGGGAACGTGAGATTCAGGTCCCCCCGTTCCACCTCGCTGAAAATTCAGAATCCGATTAGAACTTTGACGTAAGTCGGCGAGCGACTCGCGACGAGCCAAGGACACCGTTTGCTGTCCCGCGCGCCCGTGTCGATCGGTCGATCCCCGATTTGAATTTTCCTTCGGCAAGCGGAGAAAGGTGGCCGCTCGCCGTTGCTCGTCGCCGGCAAGACAATTCGCTCCTTGAATTTGAATTTCACGTGGAAGTCATGGACGAGAACTTTGACGAGCGGACTGGCGAGCAACGTGTCCGGGACTGGGACACCACTTGCCGACGCGACGGTGTCCTTGAATGAACCTTCGACTCGACCTCCGTCGAGGACCAATCACGGCAATGCCGCTATCACTCACGCTATCACATGATGCAGGTCCAAGATGTTGTTACCGAAGCACTCGCTGAGCCATCGCGCGCAAATGTGCTCGTAAGTGAACGTCTCGCCCTCGTAGTCGGCCTTGATGTCCTTGATAATTCGGTCGAGCTCTATCAGCTCCTGCCAAATCTCCTTCTTCAGCATATTGTGCCCGCCGTCCTTGGGAGTCACAATGACATGACCGAACCGACCTGCCGGGGCGAGAATCGATGAATTTGTAATCGATACACATACACCACCAACATCAATTAATATTGCGACACTTAATAATCCGCATATCCCGACACGCTCGCGCTCGTTTGTGTAACTCGCGCCTCGTGTGTGTGTGTGTGTGTGTGCGTGCGTGTCGGCGCACGTGTGCGTGTCACGAGTACAAGGACTATATTACGGTATCTATGTCAGTCTTCTGATTACATGGAAGGATTCTGGGCTCATTAGCTTCCCCGTGAGGAATCATTGAGATTCCTTGGCGAGGTTCGCACGGGGAGGAGAAGGGAGGGAGGGAATCGCGCGAATAATAGAACGAGCGATCAATGAGGCTCTCTCTCTCTCTCTCTCTCTCTCTCTCTCTCTCTCTCTCTCACCTGGCCTGGTGATACGGCTGAGATCGAACTGGTAGCTATAGTTGACTTTAAAGTACTGCTCGACCACCGCTCGCTCGGTCTTGCCGGGGCCGTTGATGGGTGAGAAGAGATATTCCGGGTCGATCTCGTAGTGTATCCTTTGGTAGCCAGTGAAGCATATGCAAGCCAATAGCAACGGCACGATTACGAAGTAGCCGGGGTGCCGGCCGACTACGAGGCCTAATTTGTGGAACGCGCGGTTCAAGAAGTCATCGACGCACTTTAGGTTTTGCCACATCTGAAAGTGAAAGCGAGTACGAGTCCTTAATTATTGCTGTCCGGCCCGCTGCATCGCCGGTATTCAGGATTTGCCGAAGACAGCGCCCGCCGAGTAAAGGCGGGATCGAGGAAGTTATCTGTCTCTCTCTCTCTCTCTCTCTCTCTCTCTCCCTCTCTCTCTGTCTCTCCGAAGAGTAACCCGTTACATCGCTCGATTGCGTCGATCGGTCGATCTCTCATTTGAGTTTTCTCCGAGGAGCGAGAACCCGTGCGGAATTACACACGGAGAAAGAGAACCCGCAGTCGCTACCGTTACTCGCCTCGGCGAGCCTCGACTCGCCGCCGTTATCCGAAAAATGTAACCGCGCCGCCGTTATCATCACTGACGTGACAAAATAACGCCGAGTCGTTAGCGGGGAAAGGTGATTCGCGACGCTAACGGCAAGTCGCGAGCGACACGCCGCGCTGCTTCCGAGCAAAAGCACCCGCGAGCTGCTCCGAGTTGAAGGGCGTTTCAGCGCGAGCGTTTCGTACGATTGCTCGCGATCGCTCGAGCTCGAGGGAAAACTCCGCGGAGGTTGTTCGCGAGCGATTTAAGCTCACTCAGCGCGTGGAAAGCGCGGGTCCGAGCTCAATTAGCGTTTCGCGCGCGGTCGCAATACGTCGAGCCGCGACGACGAATGCGCGCGATGCGTTTCCTCGTTATCGCGAATCGGATTACCGGGCGCGCAATCGAATTTCTCGTATGGTTCGTTAAACCCGCGAGAGAGAAAAAAATGCGTTGCGTCCTCGTTGCGCTCCTTACCTCTCTCTTTCTCTCTCTCTCTCTCTCTGTCTCTCTCTCTGTCTCTCTCGTCGCCGGTCTCCTCGCGACTGTCGTTACGTAAATTTATTATTTTCTTAAGCCGGCGAGTGCGCGCGACATAATAGCGCCTAGCTCGTTTATTTAATGCTCCTCGCAGTGAAATATGCGGAAACGTCTATTGTTGTTCATACGCGATAAACAGACCGGCCATGGTTTTCTCGCTGAAAATTTGCTGGAGTCGGTAAGGCAAGGAGAGAAACGCGATTAAGATATCGGCGCTTCGTAGAATCTGCGAGCTTGAAAATGTAACGCGAATTATGCTCGATTTAGATTGCAAAATTGACGGTCGTTTTTTGTTTTTTTTTTTTAATTAAGAACGACTGGGAGAATGACGTAAGACTCGATCTACTTTGATCGGGATTGCACGATCGACGTGTTGACACCTCAGCGAAAATGCCAGGTGCGCTTTGCGGAGGGAAAGAGAGAAGGAGAGAGAGAGAGAGAGAGAGAGAGAGAGAGAGAGAGAGAAAGAAGCTAAATACTTTGAAAAATTGACGATATTCATTAATCTGTCCGTAGAGCAACGTCGCGAGTTTTATTGTGAGTCCAGCGCCTGAGCCTTTCTCCTTTCTCTCCTGGTTCTTCCGTATCTTTCGTCCGTTGCCTCATAATCCCCGTAAGGGGTTCGTCATTGTCGATGCATCGAAAGACAATAACAAATGGTTTCAATTTGCGCACGTCAGATTAGTGTCGATTAACGTCACCGCCTTGGCCGAAGCGTATGATTAATTTTTGTGGAAATTCACCGCGATTTAGAATTTACGCGTCGCATTTTAGCGGACATTGCAGTTCAGAATGACGTGAAATAGCGGTGCGCTATTTCACGCGGTGGAGTGAAGGCAGCCGGAAATTGGGGGAAATTATTTGCCAAAAAGTGCACGCATGGCTTAATTTTGATCCCATTTCGGACAGCACCGTATATATGCACAATTATAATAATTAATCTGACTAATATAACGATGATTAAATATATATCAATTAACAACTGATGATAAATTAATTATAATAATTACACGCACACGCACACATTATAACAATATAATATTTACGATAAATCTATTATCTTGCGCAAGTCTGCGATCCTGTCTCTCGATTGCTAAAACTATATTCAGCTTTTTTGTCAAGCCTTCCCTTCCCTTTCTTTCGATTCGACGAAGGCGAATCCTACACCTTTTGTTCTGGTACAAAGCCTTTTTTTCACGCGACGATGATGCCCTCATAAGGGATTACGTGACACGTCGAGGAAGAATGAATCACCCTCATCGGATTTTCACGCACGTTTGTTATCTCGCCTTGAAGAGCCGAGAAAACTTTTCATTCGTTTGCGTATTGTCCGCCAATGTGGCGATGATTGAATTTCTGCTTGATCATCGTCGCTACGTCAGATCGCGAATTGAGCGGGGGGAAATGTCAGGTCAAGTTTCGAAAATCAGTCGGGTAAACTGGGATAAGACGACCATGATATAACCCAGATATAACCCAGATGAATAAGGAAAGGAAAATAATTATAATAATATAAATTTATAATTCAAACAGGAAAGACGTAACTCGATATAATTCGAAGACAGCAAATTCAGTTGCCGCCATGTTTCTTTCTTTTCCTCTAACTTAAAAGGATTAAAAATTTCTTTCTCTAAAAATAAACTTGAACTATTAATATATTCAACTTGTCACTTCCGATCTAGAATCGGGTCAAGTGCTTTTTTTTTTTCTTATATTTATAATTCAAACAGAAGAAGCATAACTCGACACAATCCGGAATCAACAAATTCAATACACTATGTTTCCTCCTTTTCCTTTAGACGTTTAAGAAATATCCTTAATATTCCCTATAAAAGTCCTCACATCCGACAGGACATCCTCTGGATGTCTTATAGGCTAATACACGGCTACTTCTTCCTCAGGACATCTAAAGAGTAGTCCTAGTCTAAAGAGTAGAGTAGGATACAATTTGGATATCCACAGGATATCCGTAATGTTCATTCTGGATGTCTTTAAAGTTTCCGAAGAATGCCATTGTATTATCTGGGAACGCTCGCAATATCGCTGCTTCGAACAGTGCGTGCGTCGTGAAATTACCGTAAAAGTCAATGATCTCTGAGAGTGATTAGGAAAAACGCATTATCTGGCAAATATCGGAGAAATTACAACCATCTCTCTCTCTCTCTCTCTCGTACGGCCATCTTACCCCAGTTTACCCTCCCCGTCTCTCCCTCTCTCGCCCCTCTCTCGTTCGATCGAAATGGAATAAACGTATTACACAACACCTACTCGATATAGCAGAGCTCTTCCCTCCAGAAGAAATCCGCCGGTTGCCGACAAGCCGCGCCTCGGCGCAGTCGTAAGATTCGAGTTCGATTCGAGCCGCGCGAGGTTCCGCGATATCTCGAGCGAGAAAAAGAGCGCTCGCGCTGCATCGCGCGTATCGCCCGCGTAAAAATTCGCCTATCGCCAGCGGAGCGAGGAGTTCCAATAAATCTGTCGAAAGTCCGCTCCACGCCGGCGATATCGTTTCGCGCGACACGAAACTCACGGCATTAGCCGCGAATGCACATAGATCCGTTCTTATCGCGAGTGACTTTCTAAAACCGCTCGATTCCGCCGCGCGCGCGGATTTTCCGCGCTCGCGCTCGCGCGTGTCACGAACGTATCATTAGGCGAGAGAGACGTAAAGCCGATCGTCGATCGCCCAAGTTCAGAAGCCAGTTTCTGCCGTATATGCCGCGAGAGCGAAAAAGGTGGGGAGAGAGAGAGAGAGAGAGAGAGAGAGAGAGAAAGAGAGAGAGTGACGACGACCGTTCGCGCAAGAGAAAGTCACCGTTGAAGCTACCGTTGGATAACTCCGCGCGCGCACAAGTCGCGGGCGGTCGCGTTAGGTGCGATTGAATAACCTCGCGTAACAATCGGCACTTTATGCCGTGTCGCAGGATCGACGCCTACCGCGGCACCGCGGCACCGCCTCGTCGGCGGGCGCACCGTGCGCGCAGGCAGGTGTAAGAGGGAGGACGCGGCCTTCTCACGCGGCGTTTCGGCTCGGTTCTCGCAATGCTCTTCGACAAGCAAGCGCCCCGCGTTTGAACGGGGACGCTCGCGCCGGGAATCGGCGATCGATTCGACCGGCAGCGTGTCCTCCGAGAGTGTGTTGTTACCTCGCGAGGAAAAGCGCGCTCGCGCACGCTCCGTTACTCCGTTTACGACTTGCTCGCGCATTTCGATGAGGCTCGCGCGCGGAGGGAGGGTTGAATCTATTCCCTCCGGATGTTCTTATCGCCGCGAGAGATCCCGACTAGGCCGACTAGACCGTCGGCGCGTGTATCGTGCCGCGGATCGACCGCGATAAACAGGTCCGCGGGAGGGAGCGAGAGAGATAACAGGATATGCGCTGCGGCGCGCGATATAAACTTTACTCGAGTCTCAATGATAATCCGCCGGGCCTGCGTGGACACACCGAGGGAGTCGCGATTGCATGCGTCGCGACTGCGTAATGCGCCGCGATATTATCGAGTCTTCTTTGCGGAGGACGCGGTGGCCGCCACAGCGGAAGATCGAAGTACACGCTGTTATGACAGATTGTTATCTACGGGTCACTAGAACGCACTCGTCCACACTGTCTTTTCCATCGCTCTGCCAGCGAGTTATCGGCGAGGGTGCGGCGGGCCGGCGTGTTATTAACGGACGCACGTGCGCGCGCGCGAGCGTTTTCTCGAGCGAAAAATCGTCATCCGGCGAGCCGTCGCGTGTCGAACCACCGAGAATTATCATGATAGATTCTCAACAATCTCTGCCGAATAGTGTAAGCTAAATGTCCCAGTAACCGGACGCTTAAGCGTAGGTCGTCACAAGAAATACAATATTAAGAATACTTTCGATATAAATTGCTTGCATTTATTCGAAAACTTAAGATTTCCTTAAGCGAAGAAAAATTATTCAAACCAATCTATCTCTCGATGCTATCTCTTAATATCTCTTAATGAATTTATTAACGATCGACCATTATTTTGCCAAAGCATATAGGTGCATACTTATTTAATTAATTTTTATTTTAACACACATGAGTGTATTCAAATTGGGTATATTTTTTTCCAACTAGTCGTCAGTTATTGGAATTTTTTGTACAATAGTTATTACTTTCATTTATTATTGTTAAAATAAAT